ACTTTCGCTGCAGCTCAAATAACACTCGTCGAAATTGTTGGCCACTCTGCAGGGGTCAACTATGTTCACTGCGACTCGTGGTAAAAATGTCAGTGGTCTTTCGTTTAAGGAACTCTGTTGGTGATAAAAAGAAATTGTCACGGTCAGCAACCTTCGGCGGATTTTACTGGAATGACGGCGCTGGAGCAAAGGGCAAAGATGAAGCTCTGAAAATCGTTCACTGAGACTCTCGAGCTTTTGCAGCAAATGTACAGCAGGTACTTGCTGCAGATACCTGTGCGTACATCTTTTGCAAAAGCTCGAGAGTCTCAATGAACGATTTTCAGAGCTTCATCTTTGCCCTTTGCTCCAGCGCCATCATTCCAGTAAAATCCGCCGAAAGTTACTAACCATGGCAATTTCTTTTTTTTTTAATCACCAATAGAGTTCCTTAAACGAAAGACCATTGACATTTTTACCATGAGTCACAAAGTGAACATAGTTGACCCCTGCAGAGTGGCCAACAATTTCGACGAGTGTTATTTGAGCTGCAGCGAAAGTTCTGTTCCTTTCTGATCAGCCTAGTAGGTCAAGGCCAAGCACCTCAATGCAGTTATCTAATCCGTACAGAGGTGGCGCCAGTGCATTCTCATCTCAGATTGACTGCAGCAGTATCAAATGTAAACATTTTTACAACGTGAAAAAACTCTAATAAAGGATTTCAAGGGCTGTCGAATGGTGGGTCATGGTAGGAATTGCATCCAAAATTAATACGAAAGGTCAGCCGGGTCAGGTCAAAGGTCCACTTGAAAAAAAAATCTAAAATGAGTTGGACCATATGCAGGAAATTACAAATCGAATGAGGTATCGATGGTGAAAATCGGTTGAGAAACCTAGGAGGAGTTCACTGGACAAAACTCGGTCATACAGACATCCGCCGGTCGTCATGTACATAGATATTTATTGCCACGAATGAATTGAAAATGGTTTTACAGCTGACAAATATCCAAATGTACAAATGAAGAAATGTGAAAGCCCAAATAAATACAAACATCACAGAGTTTATTAAGTAATTTTGGCTCACACTGCAAAATTTATTTCGTTTGAAATGAATTTCAAACGAAATACACATACACATACATCATTTGCTCGTTTGATCCTTTGGAACAGGTGATGAAGAAATGGAGATGGAAGGTGAAGGCGATTCCAGCGGTCATTTCTTTCTGTGCATCCCTTATCCTGCTGCTGCAATCGGTGACGAAGCAGGGACCATCGACGGCAGTATTCCGTCCGAGTGGCTTCGAGAGACAATGCAAGTGTTCGACGGACTCTCATGCTCCATCCTCGTCGTGTGGGACATCGCCAGATGGACGCGCCTCGGATCGAAGGATCATCTCGTTCAGTCTCTACGGAGATGTTCCGAGTGCCTACTTCAGAGGAATCGAAGAAAACTTGCGATCCATGCGTCTTTTCTATCCGGGTTGGACGATGAGAATTTATCACAACCTCACCGTCCTTGCCCTGTGCGCTGCATCCTGTGAGAACCGGGACTTGGAACTCTGCAACGTGAACCTGATGTCGGACGACACGAGGAGCCTTCACCCCATGATGTGGCGTTTCATGGTAGCATCGGACCCTCGGGTTTCCGTGTTTTTGGTCAGGGATTTAGACAGTGTGATGTCAGAACGAGAAGCTCATGCCGTCTACGAGTGGCTAAATCTCTCTTCTCACGAATTTCCCTTTCATACGATGAGGGACTCTCCCATGCACAATGCTTTATTCCTTGGGGGACTCTGGGGTGCTCGATTCGGGGCGAATCCAGGACTGAGGGAGAAACTGGTCCGGGGTTTCCTCTCCCTCTCGGATATGGAACAGCATCCCGGGATGGATCAGGAGGCTCTGTCCAGGATTCTCGGTCCCATCGTCCTTGGCCATCCTCTCCTGTCCCATGACAGCTTCCATTGTTCACTGTTCCGGAACACCCGGCCGTTCCCTACCCAGCGTCGAAATGGGGAGTTCGTCGGAAGTCCTATTCTCCTCTACCCGGATACGACCCTTTCTCAACCTTGCCCCCGGGAATGTCGACCTCGTAGCCATCCCGATTGGCTCTACTGTTAATTGCGTATACTATGCTTTCATGATTGTAAACTCTAATCTCATTCAAAAAAGCGATTAAAAGAAAGAGAAATCTGACCTAATCAATTACTTTAATTGATAGAGGCCGAAAGTTGTGGTGGCTGTCTTCCCTAACGCGCCAGGCCTACAATGCTATGCCATTCTAGGCCATCCACGGCCTAAAGCATGGACTAGAGCAGTGGTGCCCAACCCGCGGCCCGCGGGCAAAAAGTGGCCCGCGAAGCCCTAACCCACAATAAATACCCTTAGGTTTCCTTAAAATAGTCTCCTTCAATACTGATGACTGGCCCGCGATGGCTGCGGCAGTGAGCTATGTGGCCCCCTAGCCAAAAAGGTTGGGCACCACTGGACTAGAGAGTGTAACTAGAGGCAACACTCCGAGGGGGTAGGGGAGGGTCGAAATATTGCAGAGACATCTGGTGGCCTGTTATCAACAACACTTCCTTGAGGCGTGCTTCGTGGCAGCGGAAATCAGGAATCGTTACAATTGGAGATTCGACCCAAATGTCGACACATCAACGTAACATGTGTGTCTGGTTGAGTCTGCTGCTCGGCCATGGAGGAGTTCTTGATGTGCGCACGCTAGGTGGAGGATCGACAGCGACATCTGTATTACGACCCTGTCAATGAATGGGATTCGAGCGGGGTGTCTCCTCTAATTAAACTCTCTACTCCATGACCTAAAGCGCCAAGCCAACAAGGCTCTGCCATTCTGGGCCATAGACTAGGCCAAAAAATCGAAAGCGGTCGAAAGCGGTGGTGAATGGTTGTCACTCATCCGCGATCTAACACGCAAGGTCTACAAGGCTAAGCCGTTCTAGGCCATAAAAACTTTTGTGTACTTTTAATCTACTTTTAAAAGACTCACCTAGTAGAAGACAATCATTACAGGGTGTGTCAAGAGTCCTGCCCACCTTTTGTGATCATTTTTCTCAAATTGTTTTAAAAAATAAATTATTTTCCTTCATTAATCGCTTTTCGAATTTGAAAAGGTCTTTTCCATTCAAGATTCATTCCTTCATTCGTGAGGTGTGGTCTCGATGATGATAAAATTAGCTGGACGCAACATTTACGAAATCTCGAGGTATTTCAAAATTTAAAATGTTTGGTTTGAACCGCACTGCTGCATATCATTATGCAAACATTTTCAAATTTCTGCCCATTAGACGGCCAGCGTAGCGGCCGCAGGCCGCTAGTGTAATTTATTTGAACGAGTGGCATCCGCATCCGATACCCTATGCGATGAATGATTTAATGGAGTTCACAAATATCACGTCCAAGACAAGGGGGAGGGGGGGGGGGGGGAAAGTTCTCAAAAGTCTGACTATAGGTATGAATTTTCTCACTATGGGGAAAATCTCAAATAAAATCTTAATGTTCCTTTTAGTGGGTGTCCTTTCCAAAAAAGAAACAGTTCAGTCCGTTCTCTCTGCTGACATTTTAACCCCTTGAATACGCCAGAAAATGAATCTAAGCGCAACCCTGATACACAGACTCTGACAAAATTATTTATTTATTTTACAAAGAAAGCATTATTTGACAGATATGCTTATTTCGTGTCTACTTAAGCGCTTAGCTTAGGGGTTCTACAAGCTTTCGTGGTATTTCTGGAAGCAGTTCTTCATGTGTAAGCCCACTTTGCACTGCCTGCACTACCAGAACTGCCATCTCCGCCGCTGCGTCAACACGCCCGTCATCGCTGCCACCTGAGTCACCCGAATAATTTTATAAATTTCCGTTAACATCTGCTCCCGAAGAGTCCAATTCCATATTTGAAAACTCATATTCAGAATTACTCAACTCATAGTTAGAATCGCTCGCACACAATAAATTACTGACCAAACTTTCTTCAACACCACGTTTTCTCTTACTACGCGACGCCATGACTGCTGATGGGGAGAGTGCAGCAGGCATGATCATTTCTCTGTAGCAACAGGTGAGCTTTAACCGGAAGGCTTTACTGGTATAACATTTGCCGAATATCAGAGAAATGACCAGCCATCATGCGGATGTCACAGCGAGAGTGATCGCAGCAGGAAACTTAGGATAAATTCATAAAAAATTCGCATGACGCACCCGTATGCGTCGTGTGTATCAGGGATGGACCTGGCCCATGACGCATACGGGTGCGTCGTGTGTGTTCAAGGGGTTAATTGATATACGATAACTGAAAAGAATGGCCTTGATCGCCGTAAAAATTGGTATGCGGATGCGTATGAGTAAGACAGGCTCATTTCGATTCAGGCAAATTCGTGTCAATTATACCTTTTCCTACTAATTTTGACTTACACATGTACCGGCTTTTCATGATCGAATGAGAGGGAAAGAAAATACGACAATGGCCAGCAGAGCCCTTCGATAATGATAATGATTCATCCCGAAGAAAATTAGAACACGACCTAATATTTAGCATATTTCAGAGACGGTCTTTTCATTCTCCTAAGGCTTCCGTACCATATAGATAATTTTCAGTCATAAACAAACATTATTAACACTTCATTTGAAGAGCTGGAAGACAGCGAAACGGTCCTCCAAAGGGGTTGGGGGGGGGGGGGGGGGGGGGGGGCCCCCCCGCCNGGGGGGGGGGGGGGGGGCGGGGGGGGGGGGGGGGGGGGGGGGGGGCGGCGGCCACCATCGTCTTTGAGAGTGGGGCAGGTTGTCAGTGCTGCCCCCATATTTGTTAGGAATTATTTAAACAAAATCATAAGCCAGGATTGGGATTTCTGAACGAATCTATAGGAACTGAGACTCATCCCTTCGAAACTGGTTCCATCCAATTCCCATCTCAATTTCATACATCATGTAAAGGACAATAGTGTGTTACATTCCATGTCTGATGCTATACTCAGTTCAAGAAGAACGAGATGGGATAGGGAACAAAAATGACAACAGAAACCTGAAAACATCCTCCAGGCGCTTTATATCAAATATATAATATTGGGGATGCAGCACCAAAAACAAAGCACAACCATGCAAAAAAAAGAAGCACTTCTACGAAGCAAGTTAAAATCAGACCACTTCAATCATTGATGCTGGATTTTTTTGGTGCTTGGCAGTTAGGGAATGTGAATCACATGAAAGGAGGCTTGTAATGCCAACAGAAGTTTTTTGCTCATGGGACACTGTCCAAACCTCTTGGGACATTTTGCGTAGCAAGAAAAACAAGGGGTAACCAACACATCTCTCTTCTCTTGAAGGTGATTCAAAGCTCTTCACAATAGAAGGTAAGCAAGCGCATTTGGACTGATTCAAGCATCATCATATCATTCATTAGTAGAATATCATACCCCACCTAAGCACATTCATGCCCTTCTCGCTCCAGAGAGAACATGGAAAAGGGATGCATCACTGATATATGTCACTCCTTCAGCTCTTTTTCAACCAAAAATCTTGAATGAAACAATCATGTCTACGCACTACATAGCTAGATCATGTAACTAGATCAGGTGACTTAATATTTTATAATTTTTTCCTTTGAAGAAGTAAATCAATCAAATTCTTGGAAATGCTCTCAAAATTGCAAGTAATCTTACTTTCATGCAAAACGGTGTCATTCCACCATGCTCACCAAATGAAGAATATCAATGCTCAATAACTTCACTTTTCAGGGATAGTGCAACATGTATGTTGGTAAGGAGATGCTGTATGCAATTTGGGAAAAAAAAACCATGAATTTATGCAAAATTGATAGAATTCCAGAGTTAAGGACAAAGATGACTGGGTTTTAACAAAACACTTATCAATAGGAGACTTTGGTAACTCAGGACAAGAAGCTCATAAAAGACAGCATCACGGGTACCACAGGGAAAGATTTAAAATGCCCAATTTCCAGTAGCAGATTTTGTTCCTGAGTCATGGTTCACATGTGTATCCAAACATTGGTTGCTTTTCTTCCCATTACTTCATAACTTTGAGAACTGCTCAAGGAGATCAGGTCCAAAGTGTACAATTATGTAGTCATGGTAGTACATCATGATGCAGAGAGGCTGGCCCAAGATGACTGAAGCCCACACCATGACATTTGCCCAACGGCCACCAAATTTCTTCTCTATCCACAGGCTCAGCTGTGATAATGGGAGCTGGAAACAAGGAGATTATCCCACAAAGTTAAAACAAGATGACATGATGTTCCTGTCATTGGAGAGAGAGACATTGCACTGTGCAAGCTCCAAAGGGGGCCTGGGATGCATTACAAAAACTAGTAGGGGGTGAAAGGTAGCCTGGTGTGCTTGAGCTGAGAAATTACATTGATTCTTAATTTTTTGCAAAGGATGTGAAATCTCAAGGATGCCCAGCTTAGAAAGAAAATTTCTTTACCTTATATACCCAGGGTGATCAAAAAGTTCTGTTCCCCTATTGGCCATATGAAAAGAAAAACTCATTTTGATAGTAATATTGCCCCATTGTTTGAAGTAATGTTCCTTAAAATTGGATACACATGGCTCAGCAATCAACTCCAGCTATGTCTTTCAATCTCTCACAGAGCTAATTTTTCTGGAAGCCCCACATTATTATGCCCATTGCTGTTTGACTTTCTTTGGGTAGTTGGGTTGTCATAATATCTTCCACAATGCTTCTTCTTCATGAAAACAGATGGAAATCATAGGGAGTCAAGTCTGCTGAATACAAAAGGCAAAATTACTCAACCCCAGTTTTTGAATTCAGTGACCACACTTTATTTGAGTGGCTGGCAACATGAGTCATTCCTTCTCCATAAAAAATTCAGCTCAATGTGTCAAAGGGGAGAGTGATCACTAGGAAATTTGATCCACCTTTACAGAGACTGTTGTGATGACCATATGAAGTCAAGCAACAGTAGCTCTGATATTGATACACATCTAAAAAACTCTGTGATTGATTTAAATACATCACAGGGTCAAGGGTATCAAATTCAAGGAAGATTACTTAAAGAAATGAAGCTACTGTGCAACCAAAATGAGTCTTTCATTTTATTATATGCCCATAAGTGAAGGCTGAAAACAAAAGACATATGGCATAGTCAGATGAGTCAGTGCTTTAGCTTTTCCTGCCAACCTGGCACCCCTGCAAACCCACAGTGTGACAGGATCTGGAGCAAAAACAGTGCCTCTGCCTCTCCTGTTGCCACAAACACCCCCTGAGGATCATGGGGTGGGGGAAGTTTTCTAATCAGGCTTTCTCAGAGCTCCATGCGATCCCCATCAAAACAGTTCATGAACACAATATATTATCTGAAGAATATCCTCCAAAAGCTCTGCCTTGATGCCTTTAACAGGATGGCCACAGAAGGATCAATTCTGGAGCAGTGCTTGGTTGAAAAAAGGTCAGGAGGTCATCTTCATACATGACAATGCCCCTTGTGATGCCTCCAAAGCCACCTCAGCCTGTTGTCTGAAGAACTAACCTGGACAATGGAGTGCCAAAGGCATGACCATAGTGAGTTTGTTTGCCTGAAGGGCAAACAAACTTGCTAGTGAGCAGATAGTTTTGATAACTTTACTATCAAACCATCACAATCCATAAATGAAAGCTGGCAATTTTCATGAATTTACTTTGATTAGTTGAAGAGTTACATAAGTTTTCCTTTGACAGATTTTGCATTTTTTATATCAGGTGAGACAAAAAAACCAAACATTCCACTCTTTGGATATTTGTTGTGCCTCTGAAACAGCAGCCTGCACAATGAAGTTTACTTCATACAAACATCAATGCATCCATTAAGCATCCCAAAATGTTTGCCTGTTTATCTCTAGCCATTTTAGCCCACAATTGATTTGACAAAAGCAACTGGAATTTTATTTTTGTGCAAATGGCTATTGCATCCCAGGATTATCATCTAGAGAAACAATGACTCCTTCCAAATAAACATATTTTCCTTCAGTTCCAGCTAATTTTAGCCTTCTGCTACTTCTCTTTCTGTCAGATGAACTGGTTTCTTGCGGCCTGTGAATCAATCTCTTAACAATAAGCCCACATTACTGCACCCTTACTCCCTCACTCTTGCAAAATTCTTGCCCCACCTCATCCAATCATAAAAAGAGCATTTTCATGAGGAGATGGAGAAGCTCTGGCCTGAGAATGGAGCATTCAAAGCATATCAACCACTCTCCCACCTATATATTTCCTTGCACAAAATTATGTTTCAAGTTGCCTTTGGGTTATCACTCATGTGTTAAAATGGCTCAAGAAACACGAACAATAATTTTAGGATGTTTAAAGGATAGAGAGAAATTGCCACAAAAAAACTTTGCTATGCTATCTGTCATCTCATGAATTCCAAAGAATCTCGAAGAGCAGCATGTGTCTTTTGCCTCACCTAGTATTTCAAGATGGAACCCACTCATGAGGGTTTCAGATGGATTATCCTTTACAATCCCCAGGCATGAGAAAACTTCAAACAATCTTATGAGAACCTGGTGGAGGCATGGAGTCACAAGTGGTCCTGCAAATTCAAAGGGGTTAGGCCTCCATTGAAGATGACTAATTTTAGGTTGGCTTCCACCAGTAGTCACACTAGAAAACACAGCTAATCTGGCAAATGGTTTGCTTATAATTCTTGAATTACCTCTGCTCAAACATGAAATGATGGTAATTGGTTCCAATTCTGTTTTAGATATTTTCCATGAGTATCTGAGTCTTCACAAGGTTGTTTTCTATTTCATTCTCCATACCCTATCACAGTCTCAAAAATAAGTCCATGCGAAATGATGTCATTTCCCACTCCAAAAATCAACCAGGGATACTCAAATTTGAGTGATATTCTTACTGGAGATGAGATGTGGCTTTGAAAATTTAATCCAAAAACATAACATCAGAGCAAGATATGAGTGCTCTGAATATGCTGTGGGTGTTTACTATGAGACTGGTTGACCTTGTTGAAAGAGGATTGATATAACAACTATTCTTCTTGGTTTAGACTCAGGCAAATGCACATAAATGCTTTGGATCCTCATTTTAAGGGGCAGTGAAAAAACCCAGTTAAAATACTTTCAAGTAAAACAGAGCTTTCAGAGTGACCCTAATAGCAAGAAATGTCATACTGAAAGCCTCAATATGATTTCTAACCTGAAAATTAAAACTCCAATTGTGTGGCTGCTGCTCAAGTTTCTGTCCTCTTTAAATTAGATTGGACTAAGGATTCATCTGCTCTAAATTCAGTAATGACCTTACTGTATAAGAAAAAGATAGTGTGACAGACCTGAGACATCATGCCGGTGAAAGCCCACACTTTAAAGATGCGTAGTGGGACACTGACCAGGTATTCATGAAAGAAGGCACTGAGAAAAAACACAGCCACTGATGCCTGGAACCTTCCAAACCCCATCTGAGTCAATGGAGTGTACAAATGCCTTCAAGAAAGAAACAAATAAAAATCCTATCAACCTTTTGGGCCACAGCATAAAATTTACCAACTCAATCCTATTATACCTTGCCTGCATCAATCATTAAACAGGTTTTTACACCTAGCACAGACAAATTTTGCACAAAAATAAAGCATGCTTCCATAAGAGGAAAATATAAATATGTACTAGGCCTACAATAAAAAAAAACTATTTCTCATCTTCAACCTCAGCACAGATCAAAATGCAGAGCTCTCTCGATAACTCTCGATAACTCGAAGTTCAAGTGAAATTCGAGTTACAGGTTTTTTTTGGAGTCTATGCTCTACAACATTGAACATACTATACAATAATACAAAACTTGCAACACCGATTCATTTTAGCATAACCACCTGAAAGTCAGTCAAGATAGTTTGGCGTGTTTTCGCGGCATCCTCACGTTCGACGGTATTTTCCCAGTGCGCGATTGTGTCAAAAGTCTCTTGTGTCAAACCACATGTGGCCTCAATAAAGCTTCGCAAAATTTCAGTAGCATGAGTTTGTAGCCGTGGTTCACAGCGAGGTTCACGTACGCTGGCTGGTTGACACCTGGGCGCAGTACCGATAAGGTGCAGGCGAAAGCACCCCGTGCCTCATTGCAGCCTTGACTTTCCCAACTTCACTTATCAGAATGGGAACCGAAGACGTGAATCATCGCATTCTTGGGTTAACCGAGTCTGCAGAAAGGGTAGTTATGTTGATAGGTCATTCAATACGAACTCAACCAATATAATATAAAATGGCGTCCGACTATCCCGTATTTAGGGATAAAAAAAAAAAACTATAAGCGATTGCAGTCAATCTAACATCCCAGGAGAAGAGAACCGCCTCCATTGGATCCGTGATTAGCGTGATAATGCCCCGAAATTAGGGGGGAAACGACAAAATTTCCATCGCAGAAACGGTTCATCGCAAGCAATAGCTTCAACCGGAGGTCTTTTATAGCTGAACAGTTCGCTCCATACATCATTGCGGTTTAAATGAGATTTCAGCATCACAGTTGAGTTTGAAAATGTCAACTTTTAGGCAATTTTCACCTCAAAAGCATCCGCTAAAAACTTGGAGATTCTAAAAACTCACTTTTTCTTCAAATGGCTGAACAATGCCGCGTGATGAATCACTAGACAACTTTTGGGGGAGTTTTTAGAGCTCAATGCGATGCTTCTGGCTCTATGTGTCGGTATGCTGATTTTCTTTGCATTGCAAGTTTCGCTCACTAATGATTAGAGACGTCGAAGTTGAGCAAAATTTTGACTTTCAAGACGATGGATTCACTAACATATAACTGCGATTTACTCAAAACACCGCATAGAGCTCTGAAAGGCCTTCTAGCGACATATCACACGACTATATTCAGCCACTTGAAGAAAATGGGAATTATTGGAATATGCAAGTTTTCCATCCATCCATCTTTTTTCAATGCCCACTATTCCTTCCGGGTTGCGGGGGCAGCAGCTTCAAGAGAGTCTTCCAATGGCTCCAGTCCTTCACCAATTTGGCAAGTTCTTCTGGATAGATTCTAAAACGTGACCATGCCATGTCTTCAGTATATTCTGACTACCTAGTCCTAGGTCGGCCCCTTGGTCTCTTTCCCTTTGGCTTAGCAGAAAGGACTTGCCTTGCAAGTCTATTTTGTGGCATTCTGATCACGTGCCCGTACCATCGTAATTGTGACCTCTCAATTTGGAGAAGAAGTTCACACCCGAATGTTTCCCGGATTTCTGTTCCGAAACCTGTCGAGTCTCGTTACATCAGCATCCTTCGTAAGAACCTCATCTCGGCTCCTTGTATTCGCGATCGCACTCTTTCGGTCATCACCCAACACTCATGACCATAGGTGAAGACAGACTTAAAGACAGAGCTTTGCTTTTGTGCCAAGTTCCTTCTTCATTACTACAGACCGTTTTAGCTCACGCATTACTGTGCTTGCTTGACCGATCCGTGTGTCTAGTTCCACATTCTGCCTACCGTCACTCGTGAATGCAACCCCGAGATATTTTAACTTCTCCACCTGCCTCAATAAGACTCCCCTGACATGCAGAGTGCATTGAGGTGGCTGTCTAGAGAGGACAAAAGACTCGGCTTTGGCCACGCTGATCTTCATCCCAGCCTTATCACATGCGGCTGAGAACCTGTCTAGTGCCTGCTGGAGGTCAGCCTCGGAGGATGTCAACAGGGCAAGATCATCGGCAAAAAGCAAATGACTTATTTGGACATCTCCTATTCCGACACACTCACTGCCTTGGCTGCGTCTGCTGATCCAATCCATAAAGATTATGAAAAGGAGAGGTGACAGTACATACCCTTGGCGGAGTCCAACACCCATGCTGAAAGGATTCGACTTAGCCCTGTTTACTCGGACACACACTCGGACCCTTGACTGGGAAAAGAAAGGAATCAAGGTTAACGGAGCCTACCTGAGCTACCTGCGCTTTGCCGACGATACCATTATCTTCGAATCTACACCCGAAGAACAAGAAAACCGAGTGAAGGAACTCGCAGAAGCCAGCAAAAACGCAGGCCTCAAGATGAATCTAGCCAAATCTCAAGTCATGTTCAACAAACATGTCAGACTCAAAGAAATCGAAGTTAATAACAACAAACTTCAGCAAATTGACAACTACATCTACTTAGGACAGCAAATATCTTCAGACAGCAGAATTGCAGGAGAAATCAACAGAAGAGTGAAGATGGGATAGAGCGCTTTCGGACGCCTCAACTCGATCTTCAAGGGCGACCTGCATATCTGCCTCAAGAGAAAAGTATTCGACCAATGTGTACTTCCCGTACTCACATATGGATGTGAGACATGGACACTGACGGCGAAAATGACAAAGAAACTACAGACAACTCAACGCAGCATGGAGAGGTGCATGCTGGGAGTCACAAGAAGAGACAGGAAAAAGAACAAATGGGTCAGAGCACAGACGAAGGTGAGTGACATCATCGAAAGAACGAAAAAACTCAAATGGCAGTGGGCTGGCCACATTGCTAGAAGAACAGACCAGCGATGGACGACGGAAATCCTCAACTGGATACCAAGGGGTAAGAAGAGACCTAAACGACGCCCCCACACGAGATGCATTGACGAAATCAAGAAATTCGCTGGACCAATGTGAAAACGAACAGCCGAGGACCGGGAAAAGTGGAAGTTTCTTGGGGAGGCCTTCATCCTGCAGTGGATCGAGGGCTGATGATGATGACTCGGACGCAGACCTCAGAGCATTCATATAGAGATTTAATGGCAGCCAGTAGCTGGCCATCCACTCCTTAATCCTGCAATACCCTCCATAACCTACCCTGAGGAACACCTGAGGAAAGCCTTTTCGAGGACTATGAAGCAAGCATACACCTCTAGGGCATACTCCCAGCACTTCTCGATTTGGCGGAGGGTGAAAATCTGGTCCACTGTGCTACGGCCAGGACGGAAACCACACTGCTCGTCTTGGAATTTGAACTCTACGACCTCTCGACATCTTCCTTCGAAGCACTTAGCATAGACTTTTCCAGGAAGGCTGAGCAGAAAGATGTCCCGATAATTGTTGCAGTCTCTCTGATCCCCTTTTTTTGAATATTGGGATAACCACCCCGGTCTGCCACTGCTTCGGTGCCCTACCAGAGTTCCAAGCAACCTGACACCCGAGTCAGCCAGAGAATACCATCTCGATTTATCGATAAATCCGACCTGAGATGCCTTTAGCATCTCAGGACGTGAAATTTTCGCTGTAAAGCAAATCGAGATTATGCGTCCAGAGTAGGCACGGCGCTGCCTGCCTACGTTGGCTAGGCTCAAATTCCCTCGAGCCCAATGCAGGAACGAGAAGAGGGAGAAATGGAAGAGAACCACAACACTGGAATGAGTGAGGGTAGGCTTGCCTACGGTGCGCAGTTACTCCTTGCGCAGGAAGGTTGAGAATCGCTTGCTCACGTCCTCTGCTCAGAAGCACGTGCTTGTATTAATAGAAGCCTCTGTGGTTGTCACACCTGATCAGACCTATTCTACAGTATTATGCAGACTGAATAAGGAATAATTTCGAACAGGCTTCTGTCAGTCTCAGTTCCCTATTCCTACTCCGCATTCATAGCTCTCTTTGGAAGAGGCACTGTTTCTAAGTGATATGTTTTNCTCTAATACAGAAGAAAATGGGTCACATCCGTGGAATACTGCTGAAACTGCCACCTCTCAATGCACAAAAAAGCGAATTTTATAGAAGTTTCACTGACTGTGGCTCTTTACCCAAACAACCTTGAGACTTTAAAACTTTCATGGTAAAACTGTGGAGTGTTTTCTGTGTAGTAAAGAGAGATTTCCAAAGCTAGCGTTTCTACAATTAAGTTAAAGTCTCAAACAGGGTGCACTTTTTCTTGCACCACCTGGTATAAATAGGTTAATGGAAAATCAGTGTTGTATGGCTGCTGCCTACCCAATTTTTTTTTACCCACGAGCCGCCACTGGTCCTTTCCCTCGCCACATAAGGATGTTTCTGGTGAAAATGTCAACAATTTCACATTTTCAAACTCAACTGTGATGCTGAAATCTCATTCAAACCACAATGATGCAAGGAGCGAATTGTTGTGCTATTGTGCAACCTCCGGTTGAAGCTGCTATTGCATACTTTGGTATGATGGAAGGTTCCTGGGGTGGTAATTTAGCCGTCCATGGGGATTTTCCGTTTTCATCCAAAAGTTCGGTGGTGATATCTCGCTAACCGCAGATCAGATGAAGTCGATTCCTTTTTGTCTGGGATGTTACATTGACGGGAATTGCTTTGAGTTTTTATCCCTAAATCCGAGATGGTCGAGCGCACTGCTTGGTTGAGTTCGTATGCGATGACTTTGATGTAAAGTTCGTTTGTGTATTTGTACAGGAAATATATGAATAGTACAGGAATTAATTTAGAGTTATCAATAAATTTGTCTTATAGCAGTAGGAATAAAATGGGGGGCAAAATGCATTTTTATTATAAGAAATTAGAAGGGAAACTCAATAACTTCGAGTTAGAGAGAAATTCGAGTTATCGAGAGTCGACTATACCTATCTCTCATATCACTAATGACGCTTTCAAATTCCTCACTTTCTACACATCAACAACGGCAAATTAAGTCAGTTTTAAAAATGTTTCTTCCATCCAATATGTAAGCCTTGAAACCTGGTTAAACTCAAAACTAAGATAACGTACTTACTTCCGTGTTGCAAAAGTCTCATTGTACCCACTGTTGGTCTGTTCGTCTTCCTCTGGATGGAATGTCGGATTGAATGGGCATACAATGCTAAGGCTTCTTGAGCAATATTTACTGTTTCACCAGCACCTACACATTCACCAGACCCCTTCATAGCCTTTCCTTTTCTCCTCAGATCTCAAAAGCTTAATCACATCTTGAATTCTTACTTGACCAATTAACACAGTCCAGTTGGGCATCACGAAGAGTCATTTCCATCTTTCTAGCTAATTCCATTTCTGAAATATGAGATCAAAATTCTTGATCTTCAATTGGTGCCCCAAGAAGGTAATGAGAAGTTCAGTCATGGTGCCAAATATGATTAGTATCAGAAAGTAGATAATGCTCAAACTTGGATTGCATACCTTGCTGCAATTTTTTTTAATGAAAGAGGGAAGGGAAATAAAGAATACTACAGTAGACCGCAGATAGGATGGGGTCCTTGCTGCATATCACAATAGACCACTCTATTTGCATGAGGGTCAAGATTGATGAGGAGTTCGCACAAATACCCCAATCATTAAAGTGTTTCTTGTGGAACTCCATGCACGAACAATAGTATCCAAAAAACAGATCCATTCAAAACAACCTTTCCATATTCTCTTCTTTCTGTGTAGTTGCAGCCATACAACACTGATTTTCCATTAACCTATTTATACCAGGTGGTGCAAGAAAAAGTGCACCCTGTTTGAGACTTTAACTTAATTGTAGAAACGCTAGCTTTGGAAATCTCTCTTTACTACACAGAAAACACTCCACAGTTTTACCATGAAAGTTTTAAAGTCTCAAGGTTGTTTGGGTAAAGAGCCACAGTCAGTGAAACTTCTATAAAATTCGCTTTTTTGTGCATTGAGAGGTGGCAGTTTCAGCAGTATTCCACGGATGTGACCCATTTTCTTCTGTATTAGAGAGGTGTATTTAAAAGAGCAATTGCACTTTTCTTTCCTACTTAGGCTCAAAACTTTTCAGCTGACCCTTGTACCTTCTCACCTGAAGCCCAAAGACACTACACAATCAAGTATACTATGATGAGGACACAGCATGAAAGAGAGCCTTCATGGCTAAAGGAAATAAATCTTTTGAGAGGAGCTGAGACTGTATACACCTCATGGATGGGAAAGCTACATTTTATAACTGTACTTTGAATGACTCACTTTTGTTGAGAACCTAGCCACTTGAAACTATCCAGGAAACAAATTTTTATGATGTTTTCAAAATAATACAGAAAAATTATGAACCTAAAATTTCCACAATTGATTTCATAAGGTGTCAAACAGAATGACTCTTTTTATGTCACCTAATACTTGCTGACAAAATAAGGAATATAAAAAATAACAAGCTTCATGAATTAAATACAGGGTTCACACTAACTCGCTATAGCGAGTCCCTGACCCATATTTTCTTGGAGGGGCTCATATTTGCAAAACATCTATATCCATGGGACCCATTGACAACCACCTGAACATGTTCAAACTGAGCTGAAACTAGGCACCAGGACTCAAGAGTAAAAAAAGCTAGTGTGAACCCTGAAATATTCTTCATTGACAAGTTTCCCATGAGGTGTAATCCTGACACTTCCCTCAAGATGATCAGATGTTAAGACATCTTGTCCAAGGGAAACCTCAGAAATTAGTTTTCAAATTCTCAAAATTGACAGACACCCTCATTGATGTGGATGCACTATGAGTCTAGTGGTCGCACTATGAGTGCCATGCAAAAGATTCAAAATTTTTAAATCGGAGATATTAAGCTAACCTGAGAGCCCAGCGATGGACAGGGAGGTTCCAAGACCGCCAGAAGTGGCCCAAATTCTCTGAATTCCACCAGTCACCATAGAAATTCCTGTCTGCAAAGCATGTCAGCTCTCCAATCATGTTGAAAAATGCATGGAAGAACAGGTAGAACCATATCAGCCAGAGGAGGTGATTTGGTACCTAAAAGAGTTAAAATAAATTCACTTTGTATATCATGCATTTCTTTCCTCAGAGTATAAGAATATGACACTGTTCTGTTTGTTCAACCTTTACAAAAGCAAACCAAGAAGAACTTCAGAATAGGTCTAAATGAATAAATGGAATTAAGAAAAGAATTTGATGCACTTATGAGATCCATGAAATCATTCCCATGTGGTTTTTCCTCTATTGATACCCAAAAATACCTACAACATTTTATTTCTCACCCCATTGTTTAAAATTCCCTTATATCTTCAAGTTTTCATATCCCCTCTGATGTAGACTTATTTGCCCTGGTTCTGAAAATACAACTCCCACAATTACCAAATTAGAGTACAGGCCACAGGGTATTTTAGAACTCGTTGATATCACTTTCAACAGCATGAACATGAGAACATCTACTGCAAGCAGCTTTCTGAAATATGAAATTGTCATCCATGTTCTAGTATAAACTATCCATCACATTGCCTCCTGGTCTCATCACCCAGAGCATGCTTAGTTTATCTGCTCAGATCTGGAGTTGGAAGAGGTAAGCAAAGGAAACAAAGTGTCCAGCAGCCCTCAGGCCAAAGTGAATCCCAACTGGCATACCTCTCTTACTGGCTGGGGAAGTTTAAAAATATATCTAGACATTAGTCTCTGATCCTTCTTCCCCTTCCTTCTCAATGGTGATGTCCACTTGTGTCTCTAACCTACTGAAAGTGACATCCCCCATCTGTCTGTCCTCTTCTCCTGATTTAATCCTTTCATTGCAGAGATGTAAATGGGCTGGGAATACCTCCAGTACTGATTTTTTTAGGATGTTCTAATAGAGTCACATATCAGAATGCCTGGAGCATTCCTGAGTTTATTAGAGCATTGCACTGAATGATGAAACTTTCAGCTCAACTACAATTTGAAAAATTCAGACATGCATGTCTCTATTTCTGATGTCAAGACATGGTTAGGTAATGTTGCCCCACAGGATATAGACAAGGGATGTCAAGTTCAATTTTCAGGGTACAGTTAGCAACCCTCAACTTCAAAGCACACTTTACCATGGCACCTTATTCAAATTGAAGAATTTGAAACTTGAGGGTTATTTGTGTTTTTTTCTTAATATTTCTAATTTCTAACAGTAATTCTTATTTTAGGCTGACTCTTTTAATTAATTCTGATTGAACAACATGCTCAACTTTTATAGAGGTATAACTTTAAGATGACTCTAAATGGAGAAAGCCATTACTAGGAGACATTAAAGTAAAAGCTGACTCACAGCAAGTTTCAACAGTCTCTCAGCACCCCGAAGAGGGTCCATTTGCTGCAGAAGAAAAAAAAACAATCTTCAACAGCAAATCCATTCAAAAAGATTTACAAACCTAGACCAAGAAAATCAAAAAGAATGCAAAAAAGCATCCAAAAGAAATAGATTTTTCTTTCCTCTTATTGGGATTCAGGTGGGGCCTGGCTCACCTGGCTGGAACATATTTTCCCAGCTAGGATTTCTTCTCCTCAATACAAGTCTCACTGAAAATCTCCCCTCTAACACCTGGCCTGGACAGATACCTTTTTCCTCATCAGATGACACATACTCAGGGCAAGGGAGAAGCCATGTTCTCCTGATGTGAGCCTCAGTTCCCCTTTGCAAGGCCTCATTCCCCTGTCCACAAGTGTGTGTGTGCAAGCAAAAACTGTCACGACTTGTACTCATGCCATCTCCTGATGCATGCTAAATAAATGCCTCCTTCCTTCGTTCATATTTGACGGAGCCCCCATCCTTCCATGAAAACGTCTGTTTATATGCTCTCACTCTTAGACTAGACTGTGTAGAATTCAATACAGATGAAGAAATGAGGGATCAAAGTCTTGCACAAGCCTATTGTACTCCATAATAGAATGCACAAACACATATACCAGTTATGCAAAAAAGAAATAGGAGTACTGCTCAATCCTCAGAGATTTGTCAAGGATATCAAAATATCAACTCAAGAGCAGATGGGATTCATACCAATGAAAATGTTTGGGATGGATTTAGATGCTCCCTTGCATATGGGGGTGAGGTAATTTGTAAGACAAGTAAACTTCCAGTGAATTAGCTATCTAGTGAAAAAAATTGACTGAAACCTTTGAATAGGATTCTCTGATGCTGTCAAATGTGTCCATCTAAGTAATAATGCAGAAGGGTGTGAATTTGAGAATACAAGAATACTAGGGGTTGCCCCAAATAGATGCCTCCTATTTTTTTTTTAAATGGAAGATGTCAAAATGTCAAGTTGTAGTGATCAGAATGATGGTCACAATTAACATTCAATGTCACACTGTATCACATGAAGTTTCATTGCATTCCGACAGAAGTGCTAGTCTTTCAAAATGGCCACCACATAAGACATGCATAGGAAACAAAGAGTTGCAGTTGAATTTCTTAATGGTGAAGGTGTACTGCCGATTGATAATCACCGTTGCTTGATTCCTGTTTATAGTGAATTATGTTTTGACATGAGTACTGTAAGATGCTAGGTAATCCATTTTAAAAGTGGTGAAACTGTCATGAAGGACAAGCCTCACATTGGGTAGCCTGCAACCACTGTGACTGGAGAGAATGCTGCCAAGGTTGACTATTTCATCCAAAAGGATTGTCACATAACGCAGAATGAGTTTAGTGAGACTCTTGGAATTGGTCACAGAGCAATTGAAAAAATAATTCAAGATCTTGGTTGCTCTAAAATGTGTGCAATGTGGGTGCCACACATGTTGAGCATGTCACAAAGAGTCAAGGAAAGACATCTGCAATGATCTGCAGCACTGTGAGGCTGAGTGTGACACATACCTCCCTTGAATCACAATAGGAGATAAGACATGGGTACACTAGATCTGGCACTCTCAGACTTTCATCTTTTCAGTGCCTTGAAGGATGGAAAACATTTTGAAGATGACGATGCAGAGAAATTTGCAGTTTGCAAATGGTTGTGAGGCAGAAATGTCCTTGTTGGTGAAAATGTATAGATGGGGATGGAGACTATGTGGAAAAATAACTGAAGGATTTTGAAAGTTGTATGCATTCTCTGTGAAATATTTGTGCTCCTGTACAATAAATTTTTTTTTTTAGAAAAAAAAAAGGAGGCATCTATGTATTTGTGAGTAAAATGAAGGGAAAACATTTTACAACTACACCAGAACAGCATTTAAATTTTTTTTTTCCAGAAGTATGCATTATTCTGTTTTCAGTTATTTTTTTTATAAATAGGTGGAAGATTGAATCATCTTTAATGCTCCCATTTGTAAATAGAATTGCCAATAAAATAATACTAGGACATAGTTTCAGAAGTATTCCACTTTTTTGGACCCAGATGAAATACAGGTCATATATCAGAGAAAGATAATAACATCTCATAAAGCTGAATATAATGATTATTGACAGCTTTTAATGCTCACCGAAAAGGGGATAAGGGAGTTTTTCACACTTGGGATGATCCATTGCTGGAAGAGTGATAGGATGACATTGAGACCAATGATCACCTCCAGTATCCTCTTCAATAGAAATCTGATAGAGGGAGTATCACATGTTCATTAGTTCCTTTAGGAGCCTAAAGAGATTATGACCTGAAGGCCTTGTGCAAAAGTCTTGTCTACTAGTACATCACTATATCTTGTTGCCAAGAGCTCCCAGAGCAAGACATATATTTAATGAAAAAATTGGCATGCTGTCATGGTGTTAATGATTTCAAAGAATGAAATGCAAGGTACAAAAGACAGTGTTGGTATCTTATTCTTAAGGCACAACAGTGACTTTGATGGGTGAGAAAAAATAGTACAGAAGCTTTCTATAAAAGTCAAGGAGTTTAAAATGTACATAAAGTAGGCATTCCTTTATACAGGTGAGCATTGGGTCTCAGGGTTTGCACTCTTAATCATCAACTGCATTCACATGCTCATGGTTGTGAAGCAAAGGAAATCAATGAATACCTTTTGCGAATGCGTGAGCTACGAGGGAAGTTGAGTTCATAGCAAAGAGTAGGGGCACAGATGAAATAGTAGATGCTTTTTAGGGTCAGATTATCAGGGTATTTCACCAGCTCCTGCTGCCCATGGGGTCCATCTGCCATCTTCCCTATAAATGAAAACATAAAAAGTGTTCTGTGGTGCTCTGAATGAAGTAGCTTATTCTTGGGGCAGTCAGTACATGTCTGTTTTGGAGCAGGAGGAAGTAGCCACAGGCAGATGCCATAATGGCACTACTAAGAAAGCCATTGCAGACTAGTATATAATTGCTCCCTCCATACATGTATTTCACCTCCATAAACTTATGGGAAGAAACCCACTGGCTCAAAATTGTGTGCCATGTGGCTTTACCCAGAGCCCAACAAGCACTACTAGACTCAGGGGAAAGATCTTTGGAAGATAACATCATCATAAGGTCTTTGTGCACATCATCTAGTGTGAAGTGAATACCTATGAAGTGGAAAATTTAGTGAAACCCACATCACACTCATGCTTTATTTTGCCTTTTCTGCTCAGTGGCTAAAAGAACTCTATTAGACATGTAAGGGCTCCCACACCACTGAGCAGAGAGGGCAAAGATTCAAACTGCCTCAGTAAAAGATATCCTGACATCGGGTGAGCATGTATCTGAGTTTTTACCTCCCAAATGCATACACCACTTGATCACTTTGGGTAACTATAACAAGATAGTAAAACTATTTCATTTCCAAATGGGAAGGTTCCTCTAGAAACATTAAGCTGCACTTTCAATAGATCTGACTTCTGGGAATCAAAGATCCTTGCAATTTTAATTTTAACCCAATATCTATAGGAGAAAGCCAGGGCAAGGCAATATGACTCGGAAAATGCAGCAGAACCTATTGCCTGGTAAGCATATCGTCTCAAACATTCCCAACAGAAAACAGAGACTAAACAAAGCAATTACACCATAAGTGGCCACAGTTCCTAATTCTGCTTCCCTCTAGCAATTGCAATCTTCAATGACTGTAACTACTGGCATGACCCTCTAATTACATTTCCAAGTTTTCATGTCAATTTATGCTTGTTACCCAGCAATTTTAGGCTTTTGTTCCACCTAAATCATACTAAAAAGTGAGAATTGAGAGAAGCAGTTTTCAATCATATACAACAACAGTTCAAAAAGTTTCAACTTCTCCAAGAGCAAGAGATCATCTCATGGATATCCCTAACAGATCCTCAAATCCCACATGGACATCCCATGGACATATGAGGGATTTTGCATGTAGGATGTCAGTATTCTTCATCTACCAGGATGTCCTCTGGATGTTCCAAGGATATCCACTTCTGTAGGACATTTCATAGGGATATCCATGGGAATAAGGTAGGGCAGATGACATCCATGGGATGCCATTTGTCCTACATGAGAACCATAAGGGATGTCTCAGAGATGTCCTGTTGCTCATTGGGTCTTCTTGATTCTGTGAGAGTATCACATGGCTTCTACCAAAGTCTGCCATCAGTAACCTGACTGTCAGTCTCTATAAAGTACCATAGCAACCAAGAAAGTATAATGACAAAACTAATGACATCTCAACTTTTCCTTTGAAAAATGTTACACGAGTTCACTTTCATGGGATGGAATAGATTAAAGTGAGAATCATACCCTACAGGTATTGTAAAGGTAAGGCTATAGCTCCATAATTAACATCATAGAAGAGACACCATAGCCCAGAAGGAGTTCATCAAGCATGAACCAGAAACAAGAGAGAGAAGCAGCAAACCAGGAGGCATACTTTGGAATACTTGATGCGAACTTACCTGAGGCCACATTGATGGAGAGTGAGCGCCTTCGCTTGTGTCTGTGACGACTACCCTTCCTCTCAGCTGCCCGACACCATGAATTCACATGAACGAATGACCAGAGCTTTAAGAACAGGATGCAGTACACTGTGCACACTGCAGTCGCACCCACTGAATGAAGAAACAGCAGAAAACAGGTAATAGATAGGAGAATAGATCTCCCTCCTTGCAACAGCATAGAAGAGGTAAACAGTCTGAAACAGCAATGCATCTAGGATTTCCAATCTCCATTTAGATATATGAAGTTTGGGGGGGGGGGGGGGGGGGTTGAATCCCCTCCTTCTCAACTTCCATGTTCATGAAAGTAGGTAAAAAGTGCTCAATTTACCACTAGTCCAAAATGGTTCAAACAGGAAAGCCTTAGTCCATGCATTCAGGAGCAGTCATCTTACTACTTCTGAGGATGACAAAGAATGAGGAGCAAGTGGCACCTTTGACTACCTCTCTTGAGTACATCCTAAAGCAGGTCACTGGTTTTCAAAGGACTTCAACTGTCTTAATCATTCTTAATCAAAAGTCTTAATCATTTTCCCATCAAATCAAGATCATTTACCATTCTTCCATCTTCACATGCTATCATAAAAACTAGAAAACTTCACAAAAAAGTTCTTTATTCTCAGAACTCTTAGTACTCAATAATATATGATGCAGTGGATTAATTTGCCAACAGAAATGGTAAATACAGGGTGTGTCAGAAAAGACTGAAAATTGAAATTTATAATAGAAACTAGTTTGCTGATCATTCTCAATTCTTCGAGTAGGTTGATAATGCAAGGTTAGGAATTTTATCTGCCATGAAAAAATGGAAAATAGCCTATTGTATGAAAATAGTGGAACTTTTTTTCCCAACAGGCTCTATTGTGCAAGCACTACATGCTTTACAATATGAGTTAAGAGTCAGAGATGAGCCATCCTGCAACACAATATTGCAATACATAAAAAATGTATGCAAATCAGGAACTGGGCAAAGCAAAAAAGCCATGAACAGGCATGCGAACAGCATGAACACCAGAAACCATAGCAGGCAGTGGCAATTCAGCACAGCCTGTCCAAGTCAGTTCATCACCTCTTGTAGGAAGTTGGAACAGGCACTAAATCTACACAGAATTTTGAAACAGGATTTGAAGCTTTTCCTGTATAAGTTGAAGGTTGTACAGCACTTGAATGACAGTGATAGGGAACAGTGAACATTTTCCCAGATTCATGAGGAAATCCAAGCAGTCAATGAGGACACATGATATGCAATGATGAACAATGTTTTGGTCAGGACATGAGAGCAGTGGCAAAGGGGAAGGGTGGGGGTTTAAGAGGTTAGAACTCCCCCCTTGGTCAATGACAGACAGGCATATTTCAACCATCCTTGGAAATACCAGTTTTAGCTATCCCCCTTCAAGGAAAGTAAAACATCTATCAACAGACCCAAGATGCCAGACCACAATTTCTTCAAAAATGTAAATTCCAGGTGGTGGAGCTAAGCATAGGGTTGGGGTGTCTTCCTGGCCTCAACCCCCCCTTGCTGATTTCCTGCCTACATCACTGCATGAGAGTGTGATAATGCTCATGGAGGATATTTGGAAACATTTTTTTTAAGCGAACATTTGAGAATTAAAAATATTCATTTTCTCCAAAAATCTCCATTGCCTGTTTCCTAAAACCACTTACATTTCTTATTACAGGATTCCCCTGCTTTACACAGGTTCACACTTGCATGGTATTTTTTTTATTACTAACAATAATTTGGAAAGCATGTGCTGTGGTTCGTAGATACATGGTTTGAGTTTCATGAATTTTTGGTATAAAAAAAATAAGGCATGTTTGAATCCATGGAAAAAGAACCTTTGTAAAGTGAGGGAAGCTGGAATGCATCCCCTATGTAAAGCAAAGGAAGCTGGAACATATCCCCCATGTAAAGTGAGGGACTACTGTACAGTCAAAATATATAAATATTACATTGAAATAAAATGTCATTCTTCTTTGTACGAACATATAAGATAAAGGATTGCAACGGTTCAAGGACTGGATCACAGCTAGGAATCAGATATTCACACATCAGAACAAGAACAATACCTACATTCTTCAGGGCCCAAAAATAATCAAATCTGAAATGGATGATAGCAATAACTGTGCAAAGACCTCTTTCAATATCCAAATGACACCATATTTTTGCACCATCAAGCTTTTGGGAGGAGAATTTTTAAAGATCTGACAGAGATCTGCTCATAACTCCAGCCAAAGTTTGGCAAGGATTTCAATGGAAAGAATGAATGAGAACTAAATCCTCCTTATATTTTCTAGTCCTTGGACATTTTGCTCTGCCCAGCTCTTCTGCATCTTTGAGTTATTATAATGAATTTTAAAAATAAAATTAAATAAAACACCCATGACCTGTAGCACCCCCAGTTTGAGAACTGCTAGGGTAGGTCAAGAGAAATTCACTATAAAAAATCTGAAGAAAAAAAACCCTGTGTTGCTACTTGAGATGGAATAAAATCTCATTCCACTACCCTTCCATATAACAGACAAGGAGACACAAGGATAAGGTTTAATTCCTCAGATTTTTCAAAAATATTCTTCTCATTCTGTTTTCACTGTTGTGTAATTTCGATGTAATAGATGACAAAGCTTATTCTCTTCTTCTGTAGTAATTCCAATTGTTTTCTTTAAAGTGAAGGATCTTTTGAAAGTTATATATCATCTGTTAGAAAATACATCTTCCTCAAAAGCTGACTTGCTGTTATAAGGAAGCAATTTGAAAAGCTGTAAAGTTCTGGAAGTGCATCAAGGATAAACTGAGAAAGATCCTCAAGAATCTTGCCATACTTCAAGTGTGCATTTTAATTTTAAAATCTATTCTCAAGCATATCAACTTCAAGCAAGCAGCCTATCACAGGTTGTTGCACACAACATTTCACCCATATCAGTCTTTTCACTATAATTTCAATTGTTGGCAAAGACACAAACACATAAGGGATAAAATGTGTTTTTCTCCTTCAAGTATTCCAAAGAAGACTGGTTCCAATGTAAATTTGGTGCAGACCTGAGGCTTCAAACAGAATGCCACAGATTTCTCTACTTCATTATTTATTAAAGACTAGGTGATATGAAAGGCACAATCTCATTAATATTAAATAAAAAAAATCCTTCCTAGATCCTATTTGCATTTAAGTTGCTAAGAAAATTATGAAATTAAAAGTTCAGGCTTATTTCAAGGATAATGGGAGCTTCACATGAAACACCAGTCAAAGGACTAGAGAAGCATGGCATAGAAAAGGAGAAAAATCCAATTATTGATATCTCTTAATTATGCCACACCTACTATTACAGATAGACTTCTACCTTTTCCTCACACCTCCTGCAAGGCACAGTTTGATCTTAAGCTGACAGTCCCTTCAACAGCCATTACAAGCACACAAATTTCTGCCCAGCACTAAGTATCTTGGAAGGAAGTGTGGAAAGCATAGCATTGATCCTCTGGGGCATCCAAGGAAATTACCAAGCAAACAGTACTAACAAGCACAAAGAGAGATTGGAAATGCCTCAAGAAAGTTGGCCTTGTCCAAGAAACAAACCTCAATATCATTCAAAGCTACAACATGGGATGCAATTTAGATTTTGGAGTTGAAGGAGCAAGAAGCAAGATGAAGCGAATGGACATGATCAAGTTTATGAAGCAAAAATTAAAGCATACCATTATAATATTAAAGCTACTGGTTCACATGACAAAAAACAGGATGGTGAAGCACTCACACATGCTGTAGTCATGGGGTGAGATGAAGTTGATGACTACAATAGGAATCGTCACAAACACCAAAAGAGATATCACATGGAGGACAAGACCCAGTCTCTCTCCTAACCATTCCTGGGAAGATTTAAGAACCTAGTTATGTTGCATATCTAGATCACACCCTCTGCAAACACAATCTTGTCACTTTCCTCAGATCTGATCATGGGAAACTCACACCAGCAAGAAGCTTCTCCACTCCCAAAGTGAAAAGCACTTGAATATGACTTCCTGAAATACAAAAAATGCGAATAATCAGAATTGATCAAAGTTTAATACATTTAAACTGGTCCTGGCATTTATTCTGATTCTATAGGATATGGATTGAAATAAATCATATTCTGCCAGAAAGCAGCATCTCAAGAATATATTGATGTATTCATCTGTGACAAAATATAAGCACTTGTAGCATCACCTGAAACTAACATGTGAGCTCATTTGATACAGTCATCTCATGCAAATGGTTATTTTTTTAAATCATGGGTGGAACCCTACCCATAATCTGACCAGGATATCTATTTATCTTCACCTTTTACATTCCACCTATTGAGTAACTGGATATCCAAACTCCACTATCCAGATTTTTACTTCTGCAGTGTCTCACCTCCACTCCCAGACATTGCCTGCATTAAACCTAGTCCTTGTGTCACAAATGTGAATTGTACCTAACCAAAATTGGCATGGTTGGATTGGTTAAAATGAGAGAAGTGAGAAGTAATCTAGGTATTATTATTTGGAGTGGAGCTGGGCCAACAAATTTGCAATTCATGCCAGTGTAATTCCCTCCTTTTTCCTCACCCCACCGAGAAGATTGCAATGGGTTCACTGAGCATCCCATAAGTGCATATTATGCACTATACATCCATACCATAAACAGTGTAATAACATCTGTGTAATGACACTCTCTCTCAAAAATAAGATTCAAGGACAGAGAGAAGGTTGGGTATGGAAGACCTTAGTTTTTGAGGTTCTTTACTTAACAAGGGATGATTCTTGTTCAAAACACCCCTTCCATGAGGAACCTTGTCTTTGCCCATTGTAACCATGGGCAACATAAATACACATAAACAATACTTCTCATCACTCTAGCTGTGTGGAGAAACTCTGCACATGAAATCTGAGAGGCACAGAGCCAATTGGAGTCAATAATGATACAGTAACTTTTCCATTCCAGAATTTAATTGTGTGATGAAAGGTGATTTGTCAAATAGATGCTACTCTGATGACAAGACCAGGAAAATCTTCATTTTACCCAAAGACTCAAATTAATCTCAAAAGCAATCCACCCAATGTTAGAAAGTATGGATTTCCCATAATAGAAAAGCTGGAAACAATGAAGTTAATAATGTTAATAAATTGGCCTATCCATCCAGGGTGTCCATATAAAGACTAAAGGTACTAATTCTCACAAGATAGAAAAAAAGCCAAGTTGTTCTTGTCCAAATGTATGCAGAATTCATATGCTATGAAGATCACCCTAGTAATGGTTGCATAAAATAGTGTGCAGTATAGAAATTTATTTTTTATCCATATTCTATATTTATTCTCTCCATTCACAAAATGCTGAAATATGTGAAGTGTCAGATTGGTAAAATGTTTTCATCTCCTGCCTGAAGACATTGAACATAAAATTGAAATAATGATAATTTAAATTCCCCTGCTACTGACTCAAATGAAATTTGAGTTGACCCAGATGATAAGCTGATAGGTGAGCCTGTGAATTGCATCTGCAGTTTGCAGTCCACGTGATTCAGTCCTGTGTTAATCAAGGGGTACAATGAGCAAAGAAATACAATTAGAAACTTGCAGCAAGTCAGGAATAGATGGAGCCTCTTGTAACACTCTACCAGCTGCATGGGCTAGGAGCATAACAGAATCTGTTCCTAATGTTGATTACCTCTGTGCCAAAACTGTTTTTCAAAAGAATTATATGGCATTCCTAATAACATCCTCATATAGTGCCATGGTGTCCTTTCTGCATTAGACAGAAATGTTAAATGTTGAATTATACATACATTCAAATGAAGAGGAACTCACCCATTCACTCACCAGTAAGAAGATACAAGGAAGGATACTGGTTCTGGAATTCACTGGATTGACTCATCAACACCACCTGCCATTGTGATGGGTCTATTCGGATTCCATACCTATGGGAAGTCATTAGCAAATCCTCAAAAACTCAAAATTAGAACATAAAGCTCACCATTGTTCCCACTAAAAAACAAAAGTAAGTTTCTATGGAAAGACTACATTCTTCATTCTGTGTATTTTCTTTTCAAAATATAGATGCACCTTGAGATTTTAATTTTCTTAGCAAGAACCTTAAAAGCAGCCTTATAAAAAAAAAAGTGTCTCCTTTGTTTTATGCATTAAGGTCAGCTGCTAAGCTGGGAATTTCAGGACAATATCTGCATTATCTAAAAAAGTTCACTAAAGAACAATAGGTGTCACTGTAACCTTGCTGAAGGCACATGTTCATCTATATGACATTTAGACAAGACTCCACTATAGCTAAGCAGAGGTTTACAGGGCCAAGTTTCTGTTTAAAACCATCAGCCTCAGCTGCTCTACCTGTATCTTTTTTACGTTTCCCCTGGGCATTTTCATTGATTACTGCCTTTAAAAATATACAAAATTGTAAAACTTTCACTTAACATGATGTGGGCTGACCACTGCAACTATGACACAAATGATCATGTAGGAAGTTCATTTTGTCCTCTATATGTCACTTTCTGTGTTTCTGACTGGTTGCTGGACTAAAAATGGAGGCTTCAAAGTACATTTTACCAGTAATGTCATGGCTGTTCCAGTTATTTTTATGGGTTTCTAGAACATGCTAAAAATCATGGTGGCAGTGACTTAACACATTCACGCCCAGCGACTCCAGAACACTATGGGTTTAAAAACGTAATATTATGGTTCCCGGCGTCGATGGGTTATGCATGGCAGCACACAGGATCATGTGAGTTGGTGTACATCATATCAACATTGAAAAAAGCTAAGAATGATGCTTAATTTGGGAACTAGCTCCTCAGAAAATGAAGCTGGTGATATTAGTGATTTTATCAGTGATGCTTCTGTGCCATAAATAATTCCTAATCATAATTATAGAGATCTGGAAGATGACATGAGTAGGGCTACAACACCTTAAGGTGCCATATGTATGGCAGAGGGAAAGACAAAAAAGTAAAGAGAACCAGCACCATGTGCCAGCAGTGCAATGTTCCACAGTGTGCTGAGTGTCTACCTAGGTACCATGTCTTCAAACATAATCAAAAGTAATAAGGACATACCAAAGGTGAGTTTTAGTCAGTTATACAAGTTTTGCAAAATGTCTCACTCCTCCAAAAATGGCCAGTCCACAGTGTTGAGAAAAGTTAAGTAGCTGACCTTCTTCCATCCCTACAAACTCCATTGCTTTGCTTCACTATTGAGCAAACAATTATAGCTGATAGCTTCTATAACACCACTTCGTGGAGGATGGAAGAGTTAAATTGAGTTTTAAACTAATGGTAAGATTCTACAAATAGCAAGTTAACATTGGCACTTTGCTGCAAGGAAAACAATTTAAGCATGCCAAATTACACATAATTCAGACACATGCCTAACCCTTATAAGGACATACAAAGTGCAGTCAGGAAGTCAGTGCCATTATACTGTAACTCCTAAAGTATAGCAAAATTTCACAGTCACTTCTCCCACTTCTCAAAATAGTCTCCACTCTCTACACACAGTTGCTACCATTTTAATCAGTTTTTATAGAACTTGGCAAGGTCATCTATGGATATGTTTCAACCACTGGTAGACTACAGAGCCCAGGGCTTATCTTGAAGTATATATTTCTTTCCTCACAACAAATCCTTGAGCTTGCCAAACAGCCATAAGTCAATCGTAGCAAGATCAAGCAAACAAGGAGGATGTGGTAAGAGTTTAATACCCCTTTCAGCCAATACCTCTATCCCACATGGGCAGTATGCAGTGATGCATTATCCTGGTGCAAAATTAAATTTCCATGAGCCAGTTTTGGGTGCAACTTGTCCATTGCTGACTAAAAGCTCCATTTCTATTAGGCCTCAGTAGTACTCAGCATTGATGGTTTGACCCCTGGGAATAGCATGAGCAAAAATCAAGACTCGTTTGTCCCATAAAATGGTGTACAGCATCATTTCATTTGAAGCAACTTGTTAAAACTCCTTCTTGGGTGGTAGAGAATCAGTATGCTTCCATTATTTTGATTGCCTATGGATCTCAAGATTGAAGAAGAGGGATCAAACTGCATATTGTGTCACCATAGTGGGAGGAATGTTCAGACAGCTTTGCTTCATGCTCTCAGAAAGCATGTAGGGCACCCAGCAGGCACTCCCTTTGCTCATGTTTAGCTCATCAGGCTGAATCTTTGCAATGGTTTCATGGGAGTCCTAGTCTTCCTGCTATATCATCAATGGAAAGGTGTTGGGCTGATGTCACCAGATCTTTCACATATCAGATGTTTTTGGTCAGAGCTCACAATTCTGGGACTTCCAGAAGAGGGCTCGTCTTTGGTGGAAACTCTGCTGTGAACTCCTACACCCACTTGTGGACAGTGTTATTGGCAAGGCAGACATCTCCACACACTTCTCTTAGCTGCCAGTGAATGTCCACAGCTTTCTCTCTCTCCACATACCACAAGAAATTTCATCACAGCTCTCTGCTCCTCAATTATGAAATTCATATTTTAACCCAGTCTAGAAAAAGACACTTGAAAAACAAACCACTAAAATCATCTCATCACTGACATACTAACTAAACAACTGAGGGTAAAGGTCTAAAGGTAACAACAACCATCAATTGACCTTGATATAGCTAAGTACACAGCCACTACAGGCTAGTGGCATAGACTTTCTGACTGCACCTGGTATATAGGCCCTCATATCGGATTCACTGTCTCATAGCCATGGCTGCATAGAGGAAGCCCTGAAGCATACTTAATGATGTTCTCCAAGAATAGTCGGAGACCACCAAGGAGTAGGAGTAGGAAACTCAAGTTCATGAACCCAGTGAAATCATGGAAGCCAGATGACCAGGAGAAGAGGGAGTCCCTTGGCTGGTGACATCTGAAAAATATCACATAAAAACAGCCTCAACACATCATTTCTTTGAGTGACACTTCCCAAGTCCTTCCTTCAATTAATCTTTTGGGAAATCTCTTACGGGTGATCAGGCTGGGCTTTGCGGATTTTCTGCTCCTCATATTGGATCTCTTCTGCCCTAGTTACAGACTTACAGCGTCTAAATCTCAAGTCCATCAATTCTGCTGTGTCTGGTTTTCGAACCATGTTACAATCAGAACCCTCAATGACTTCATCTGAGTTCATGGACTTCGATAGTTGACTTCTTTATGGCACATGAAAATCACCAGTCCCAAGTTTCTTTACAGGCTTTATCTGAAAATGCAACAGAAGATGATGAAAGAAGTGCAAGGGCCTAGGGCTTTGTCTAGGTGCTGATGCAACACAGAAAAAAAAAAGGAAGTTGGTGTCACACAAGGGTGGGCAGAATAGGTTTAACAAAAAGATTTATGGATTTTGGCATGATGTAAATATAATATGGAGACTTTTTTTTTAATGGACTAATTTTAAGCTTCAATGGTAGAGAGAGTGAAATGAATCAGGCAAAATGAGATTTCCTCACCTTGAAAAACAAGCAAGGGATCTGCCAAAGTGTCTTAAAATTAAAACCAGTTCACTACTCCAGCTAAATAAAGAAACTCCATAGTAATGGTGAAATAAATTCTCTACAAGATTAAAAAATACCCAATGATGGGGCTTTGTCAACAGGTTTGGTTTAGCTGAGACAGTGATGACATAGTTCATGCCTAACTTGGAGCGTAAATCGGCAGTTGCTGTACAAGAATTGGGGCAGAGAAAAATTCAAGACTTGAGTGAGCCAGGCCAGTGATGGAACATCTGGTGAGGATCGATGCGAGATCAAAAGTACCACAGCACCATAACTCACTCACGATTGCACGTGCCTTGTGGCTACCGCCATGTTTACTCTCAGCCCGCTCCATGTCCCCTCTGAGGAGTTCCACCTCCTCTACGCCTAGTCATTGGTAGAATTTCCTACTTAAGGGCAAAATATCAAGCCTTGAAGTTAAGAAAATATAATAAAATAGCTTCGCAATACAGAGTGTTAAGAAAGTTAGTTAGTAGTGCTCTTCACCAAGCACGAAAGCCAGCTCAATGAAACCTGGAGAGTGGCTTCAGGAAATGATGGGGAGAATGTTGTACGAAAGAAACATGCTTCATGGGGGGACCAGGGGCGGGGGGGGGACGACCGACCCCCCTATGGCCAGGTTAGCATTTGATTTATTTATTCAAAATAGCATCTGCATTAAATTTTATTGGAGCCAATGAAGTAGGTACTCAAGTTCTTCCCCCAGACGAAAAATAAAAAAGGTGAAAGATGAAAGGACGAGGAATGGTGGTAGACAGGGGGGGGGGGGGGGGAAGTAGGAACTTGGGAACCGCCCCCCTATGAAAAATTTCTGCATCCGCCCCTGTGGGGGGCCGCTCCTGGCGTGACACCATTTGCTTATAGAACAGCTATTGCTCAGCTCAGTGCAGCTATCGGATGGCCTTATTGAGGGAGTCATAGAGCACAGATAATCTGTTCTAGAATGGTGCTGTAAATATATAAATTGACCTCAAAGCAGCAAATAGCTCTTGTGCAATGGTAGTACTCAAACGAATTCAACACAGGAGGTTTCATAGGTTTTGAGCTTCGCAGCTGCCATTTATATGTTCATACAATGACTGCACCCATTTATGCGAAGGACGTAACGTCATTGGTGCCCCTATGAGGCATCCCAGCAAACATACGAACATTTAAACAGCGTTGTATGAACGTTAAATTTGAACCTTCCCACTGTTGTCGTGGCGTTGAATCTAACGTTAAGTCAATATTTCAATGTCGCTTATCGGAATACTCAGATGAACGTTGAAATTCAACACTGGCTGAACGTTGGGCCTACATTTACATGTTCACTCCCACCCTAGTAGCACCTTAATATTGGGCTAATAATGAAGACAATGGAATATATATATTGCTCTGAAAGTACTAATTTTAGTACTTTCCAAGGAAAGTCCTTTCCCTTTCCTGCTCATCAGAATACTGTAGCCCTCCTTTCAGTCCCTAGATAAGGAAACCAAGGTCAAAGCCAACGCACATAATTGAGTTTTCAGAAACACCATCCAGTTATTTGTTTAAATGCATGCAAGGGTTTCTCATAGGTTTATCACCTAGGCTCCTACCCAGCAAACATAGTAACGTTGTGGGAACGTTCCCCCAGGGTCAAAAGAGTGTCATCGACGTTGAAGGTCAATGACCAACGTTGCGTGAATATTGTTGCAGTGTTATGGCATTATGATACCTTTTTATGCATTAAGGTCAGCTGCTAAGCTGGGAATTTCAGGACAATATCTGCATTATCTAAAAAAGTTCACTAAAGAACAATAGGTGTCACTGTAACCTTGCTGAAGGCACATGTTCATCTATATGACATTTAGACAAGACTCCACTATAGCTAAGCAGAGGTTTACAGGGCCAAGTTTCTGTTTAAAACCATCAGCCTCAGCTGCTCTACCTGTATCTTTTTTACGTTTCCCCTGGGCATTTTCATTGATTACTGCCTTTAAAAATATACAAAATTGTAAAACTTTCACTTAACATGATGTGGGCTGACCACTGCAACTATGACACAAATGATCATGTAGGAAGTTCATTTTGTCCTCTATATGTCACTTTCTGTGTTTCTGACTGGTTGCTGGACTAAAAATGGAGGCTTCAAAGTACATTTTACCAGTAATGTCATGGCTGTTCCAGTTATTTTTATGGGTTTCTAGAACATGCTAAAAATCATGGTGGCAGTGACTTAACACATTCACGCCCAGCGACTCCAGAACACTATGGGTTTAAAAACGTAATATTATGGTTCCCGGCGTCGATGGGTTATGCATGGCAGCACACAGGATCATGTGAGNCAATAGTGACTTAATGTTAGCTGCAACGCCAACCAAACACTGGGAAGGTTCAAAATTAACGTTCATACAACGCTGATTGAATGTTAGTATGTTTGCTGGGTAGACACCTGTTTAAATCTCGGATATGCGGATAACCAATGATGAAGTGTCCGAGTTTATTGATTGCTATAATGAAACTAGGAAAGACATATGGTGAGGTACTAAACACTCCTGTGAGGGATGGAAAGAGGGAAGTGAACTTCTGTGTACTGTGCGAAAAGAGAGACCCATGCTTCCATCTAATGACCAAGAGGAGAACTTCAACATTTCCACAAAAAAAAAATTCTCCATGCAACATGGACACATTGGATCATCGCATCAGTTTGATATTGGATCGATGATGGAATGGCAATATTGGAAAACCAATATTTAGCCGGTATTAGCAGTAATGGCAAGATGTATAGACATCGTGCCCTATGTTGGTCCACCATTGAGCTAATATCTGGTGTTACTGGGGTGGTAACACTGGATATGTTTTTTGGTCGTTTCTAGAAAAAAAAGTTATTCCCTATTTGGCGATGCATGCTCCATGATACTACCATGAATATATTTTTTTTTTTTAAATGCTATTTAAGAAGGAATCGTAGCGCCATAACACTGCTATAATATTCAAGCAACGTTGGACTTGGACCTTCAACGTCGATGACATTGTATTGACTCTAGGGGAACGTTCCCACAACGCTATTTTTGCTGGGATGTCTCTTTCTTGTAACGTTCTCCTCATGGTGCGTTGATACTACAGTGTTTTTTACTCGAGTCAGACAAGTTTTTACTTGACTTAGACACCTGGGCATGAGATGTTCCACATGCTTGAGTGTCTGAGTCAAGTGGAAAAGTGTCTCACTCAAATGAAAATCATTGTATCCTGAAGTCTCACTGAGCTGTGGAGCATAATTTTCGCGCTATACAGTAGTGCCTTACATCCACCAATCAAATTCATAATCATTCCGTATGTTATCTTTCATTTAGGCTTTGACTGCATCCCCGCAGTAGATATTTGATAGGGTCATGCATTCTGGCTAAGATTCACGTCCCTTCACTTTCCTCTCCCCCTCCTTAAGACAAGGTAGGGGACGAGACTACGTAGTCGATGCAACGAATCCCTTCAGCAGAATCCTCTTTTGCATTACAACTCACGAAGGTAGAATTCTCTCCTCTCTCCTTGGCTAAATTTTGTGACTGAGATCGGACTACTCAAACTCCTTGTTAACGCGTGTAGTGGCCTCTCCGTATTGCATCAATTCGAATTGAGAGAGGAAAGAGAGTAAAGAGAGTAAGGGTGGATTTTTGAACAGAGCATTATCCGATAATGCTCTGTTCAAAAATCCACCCTAAAGGATAATATTTAAATGTCAGATGGGAGTCCGAGATTAAGGAAATTGTGGTTTACGGGGGGGGGGGGGGGGGGAAGGACCGTGAGGAATTCACTGACGTCTGACGCTTTTCTTTCCCTTGACATACGCCCGCGTACGGCCGAGGGTTCACGCTGCCGTCTCCTCGCTCTCACTTGCCCCTTATCACCCGGGTACCGGAAAGATACGACAACTTAAAAAGTAAGAGGATATAATGTAACTTATCACTCGTCCGCTTGCGAACTCCTGATAACCCCCTTTTCCGCAGATATTTCGCTGTCGGTATTAGATGTCCTCATTGGATTTTCAAACAATTCTAAGGCACCATTCTACAGGGTCTTCAGAAAATGGCGCTCCATTTTGCTGAATTTATATTTCCCAAAGTATTTGACGTATAAAGTTGTACAACACATCATGGTTTACGCGGAAATTAAGAGGCTTTCTTTCATGCAAACACATGCTTAATGTGAAAGCCTTCTACTTGGAGAACCGTTGAAGACCTTCTCGAAAGTTTTCGATAGCCATGGTAAGCGTCTCCTGACTGAAGCTCTTCACGACCGATGTGATTTCCGTCTTCAATTCTGCAATTGTGCGAGGGTTTTTCCGTGGACATTGTCCTTGAGGAATCCCCATAAAGAATCACAAGGATTGAGGTCAGGAGAGTATGGTGGCCAAGACCAGAAAATGGTCAGGATATCGAGTTGAGAATACACTGTCACTGAAGTGTTCGCGAATTTTTTTCAACAGTTTCGTTATTGCAGATCTGCTTGGGGTTTCCCTTGCTCCAAATTGTGCTGTGAACACGGTAGCACTTGCACTGTTTGTTTGGAAATAGCTCTTCACAATAAACTCACATTGATCTGTAGAATACGCCATCTTCAAAAATGTCGACTATGGTTATGAAAAAACTTCATGGGCGCCACTATACAATGACGCAATTTTCAAGGCTTCGACTCCAAGCGACGGTGGCCAAATGCAACAGGATTCTAGGTTTCATTCGTCGGTCGGTTGCAAGTAGGGCATATCGCGTTAGTCTTCCGTTGTATGCGGCGCTGATAAGACCCCAGTTGGAATATTGTATCCAGTTTTGGAGGCCTACAAGTAAGGGCGATTTCTTGGCACTCGAGGGAGTACAGAGGAGGGCCACTAAAATGATTAAGGAGGTCAGGGGACTATCATGGAAGAAGCGTTTAGATGTGTTGGGACTGTACTCGCTCGAACGAAGGTTAAGGAGGGGGATCTCGTCCAGGCGTTCGAGATAATTAAAGGAATAGATAATGTCGAGTGTGGTAGGTTTTTCCAGTTTGATGACAGCAAGAGAACGAGAGGTAACCGACTTAAGTTGCGCAAACCGCAGGTGCGGCTCAGGTCGAGACAGGAATTCTTTACTTGCAGAGTGGTGAACGCGAATGCGTTAGATGACGAAGTAGTGGCTGCCCCGCGCTGTGGCTATCTTTAAGAAGAAACTGGATGCTTTCATGGACAGGCAAAAAGGTGGGGGGCAATGTTGACGTTAGGTACGAGACAGAAAACTAGGATAGTCAGAAAACAAAAACAAAAAACAAAAAACAAAAAAAAAAACAAAACAAAACAAAAATGCAAACATATTTAGCTTTAAGAGGGTTAGGCCTACCCTAAAATTAAGGAACGCTCGACCTCGACACGTGATATCGAAATGGGTGAAATCGCCTCTTTATATCACTAACTATCTCGAATCTTGAATCCATCCATTGTCGTATATGAAATAAGCGAAATACAGCATCCATTTTTGAAGAACCTGTATATTACTGACGGTACATCACTGTAACAATACAATCGCTCACTAAAGATGCATGAGATGCCCACTTTGTCGTTACATGGGCGAAATCCCCAAAATAAGTCAGCGTAATGCTTCCATAACCCACTGTAGAGGGAGAGCAGAGATGAGCTCTCTTTCCCTCACTACATGCTTCTACTCAACGCCTCTCCTACCAAGTTCTTCCATGAATGCTTATGCTTATTTTCCTTTTCAATATTTTCTTTTGTTTAAATCCAATTATTTGAGATATGGAAGATATGGGACAGAGGCACTGCCGGGAAATTTAGATACGCAGCCATTGATTTTCAATTTTTCCGATATCTTCGGTCATATTTTCGCCATAGACGATAAACCCATGGAACACACCCAAACGTCCCTGCTCAATAGTTCAAAGTAAGCCGATTTTCATGTTAACTGCTTTGCGAAGATTTCCCCACTATACTATACTTGCGACCTGCGGCCGCTACGCTGGCGTAGCGGTCGCAGGTCGTCTACGTCTACGTCTGCTGGGCGGAAATGTGAAAAGCATCCAGGCTTACAGCGGATCCTTGAAATAGGTCTTAGCCAAGCACTTCAATGCAGTTATCTAATCCGTAAAGAGATGGCGCCAGTGCATTCTCATCTGAGATTGACTGCAGCAAGACCAAATATCAACATTTATGCAACGTGAAAATAAATTATAACAAAGGATTTCAAGGGTTTTACTGCCAGAAGTCAAGGCCCACTCAGCAAATGATGACATAATAGTGTACCGCCAGTGGGGCCTTAGTGACGATGTGAGAGCCAGGCAGCAGGCCTAGAAGACCTGTCAATAGTCTCGCGGATCTGTTAACCCTTTCGTGGGAAAATTTTTCCTTGTGTGCAGCCTTCCCAGAGCACGAGGAGAGTCGAACGTTTTCTCTGAACTCCCTACTGCCCATGGAAGGGTTAATAGCAATATGGTAGCACGACGGGATCTTACTGCGTTGTAATGAGGCTTGGTTATTTGGTGCCATTCGGTTAGGGGGTCCGGTCGAGCTCCAACAAAACTTCTGACTTGCCCTGCGGTAAGAGGTATATTGTCATAGAATGAAGGAAGACTTGTGAACGTGCTGGTAACTTTCCTCGACTGAGGTGGGTTCAGGCTCTCATTTTTACCAAGGAGGGTCCAGTACAAGAAAGTCAATTTTTACATGCGAGGCAATGGCCATCCTAACTGATGGACCTTCACTTTGAGAAGGTAGTATATTTCTTGGTGTCACCCTTATATTCAAGCTGGAAGATAGAACATAGCTTCAAAACGTATTGCAGAGATGTCGTATCCTCTATAAGGAGATCAGCACAGCTTCTGAATTTACATGTTGAATAGGACTTGCTTATAGTCCAGCGCGAAGCATGAATAAAACTAAAACCCTTCAACAAAGCGCAGTTTCCAAATAATTTCAGACTCTCTCGAGCCTATACTTTTTTTGACGAACGCTGGACGTGTGACTATCTCAATCGTTGGAATTACCATAACTGTGTATAAGTTGACGTTCGAAGAAATACACATGTAAATCTAATGGTTTTTCCATGTAAATTCAAAGATTTTTTACGGTGTCGTAATATTTATCTACAGAAATAAGGATGACGGGATTTGCGTATTGCATCCATCATGTTTATTCCGCGCATGAAAATGGGAGGCTTTGCCTCGTGAGTCACACAGCTCCAGGAATAGATGGATGGATGGATGGGTGAAAGAAGGTGCTATTTCTTGTATCCGAGGATTCTCTTGACGTAATAGGTATCCCCGATGCGATCCGGATGGACGCATCTCTCCTGGGTCCCCAAATCCGCACACGCGTAATAGGGGAGGCATGGACAGGAATTGAAATACACTTCCTGGCTCTTGTCAACTGTCAGGAGAACACATGAAGAAAAAGTCGCGTTCAAGACCTGTCTCATCAAATAGTAGATTAGTAGCAGCAATGTCACCTATCTTGAAGATGTCAGTCAGGTTCACCTGATCTAATGCATAGGACTATCCTAAAAGTTCAAGGTCAGCAAGTTCACGAAGATACTGTACATATCCTTTCCAGCCTGTGCAGCTTTCTGCAAAGGTTTATATTCATCTGTCATTTTTTATTTCTGTGAAAAGTCTGATTCTGATTGCAAGTCTTCTTTCGACCATGATTTGGTGTCGAAGAGGAATAAAATATTACGACAGATGAAAGGAAACGAACCAAGGAAAGAAGCCGTGTGGCACACAGCTCCCTCTTGCTGTAATGGCATGCAAAATGCCCGTTGAGAGTTGATCGGCCGAGCACAACATTCGTACGAGCCACAATCCCAGCGGGAATCGCACTGCTTCGGCTCTCTACCTATGGACGGAACATGAAGCAAAGGAAGATAAATATATTAATTCTTTTATTTCGTGAAAATTCCACTCTCACGCAATCGCATGTTAGTTCCCTGTCTTTTAACCTCCTCAGATCCGATGGAAATAAAAGCCATAGGATTCGACTCATGTGCATACCGTTCGCGCCTGAAGAGGCTTAAGAGTGAATACCTGCGAGAGCTAGGGTATCACTCATGTGGCAGCACTCTCACGTGCTTAGGGCAAGGGTGGTGCAGTTCATTTATATGATTAAGGGCGACTTCATTTCCCCTCTGTTTTGCTTTCTGTTTCGGTTTCTACGGACTTCTGCTGGCTCCGTCGCCAACAAAAACCTATCCGAAAAATTGAATCACGTTTCTTTGCACTTTAAGGAAGGTCTAACTGGCAACTAACGAGATATTGTTCTGCTTAAGGTTGCAACAGGTCGTTGACAAGAACGAGATTCCAACAACAATTTAAATTAGGAAATAATTAATATACGGACAGTTGCATGATGTACGCTGGCAAGACCTTAACAAAGGATATGCAGAATTTTTCTCCTAATAGTTAACGTATACTTTACCGACAGTCCTTCCTAACCTGATCAAAATTCACTCTTGTTAGCAGATTTTAGAAAGATTATTAACGAAATGCTATTCATAGGCAAAAATGAGAATGTCAGAAACCATCTGCATTGAATCTGGTGTAATCATGATATCCAATTTTTCCATGTCTTAATTCCTAGCGTGGACTGTCTAGGGATTCCTGTGTAAAGGATCAAATCACCCAAACATTACCTGTATCTGCCAACTTGAAGTCTTGGAGGTGCTTTTTTTCTTCTTTTTCTTTTTCTCATTATTTTTCCTTTATCCTATGAGTTAGGTCCTGTAAACTTTCCAGCGTTTAAGAGTATGCGCGTCTTACTTTCTTACCCTTCTTTTCACTCTTCAAATTTCACATCGGGGAAATTTATTACTGGTGTGTTGCATAACTCGTACTGATTTCATCGTTTACATTTCGATGAGGAGCCTCTGCCTAACTTTCCAGCCCTAGTATTACCATGAAACTCTTCTCAGTCCTTTTCTTAGATGCTATGGAATAGATTAATAAACATCCACTACTGAATGTTCCAGTAAGCAAAAATCACCTTCGGCAGGCTCGAAACATGCACTGCCTTCTTTCAAATCCAATGCTCCGAATTATTCTTTTCGAGGTCCTTTCGTGATCTCTTTGCTTTCTTGCCCTTTGCAAATTTTAACTGCGAAAAAGAAAACAAATGAAAACGAACTAATTAAAACAAAAATGCCGTATTAAAACAAAGCAAGAGTGCTAAAAGTCTTGGCATATATTCTTCTAGTTTCACTCTTTCCCTAGAAGAAAAGACTAATGAAGTCAACCAGAGCCATAAGGAAAGAAAAGTCACATCCTATTCAAATCCGTGCCAAGTTTCAACGAGAAGGTGGAGAAACATATAAGCGAAAGATGTGAAGACTTACTTTGAGTCCACCATTTGGCAACCATTCGGTGTGCGATCTTGGGGATGTTGTTGCGATTGGTGGGAACTTGGGCTGATGCGAGGGAAATCCCCACCATCACCACCACCACCATCCAATTCAATCTCGCGCTCCATCTCACCTTCATCTACAGATTCAAAATGTTGAACAGAGAATTAAGGGCGTTCGAAGCGAAGAGGAGGTAAATTACCCCCTGCCCTATCATAACATTATGCCTGCAAAAGGGGCCCGGGAGATGGAGCGCTCAGCCAGCTTGGCCTTCTTTTTCTCAAGGAGAAACCAATGCTCTGATAGATTAACATTGTGATTCTCTTCGACAGTAAACTATAGTATATTTCATACACTGTAGGTTAGCTTGTAAGCAGGCACACGGACTACTTAAAAGTACGAATTGGTAATTTTGAGTGTTGTCATTACTAGATCGTTTGCTTGCTGAGCACAAAATGAGACAAGCCCAGTGGTATCGTATTTGTCGAAATCAACTCAGCAGGTTCTGTTCTAAATCAGACTGTTTTGTATGAAGTATGATGAATTTGCAGTTTCTGCATGATGTGAGGAATAGGGGCAAGAAGTTATCAATGTAATAGATACAAAATTTGCTAGTTTTTGGATCATTTACACACAAGATATTGACGTTTTACGGTATCCATTAAGCAGTGTAATAATTATTCCAGAAGAATTTACCGTCGGCTGACTCTAATTGATTTCCTCCTCGTTGAAGAGGAAATCGATGCACGGTGAGCGACGTCCGTTTCGAATACCAATCCCTCGAGGGAACCCGAGAAATTCAATTCGCTTTTATGTTAGAATTCAGTTGGTAGAATCGTGAATCTTGAGATTAATGATAAAGAGTGTCGAAGGTTTGTGAGCAAGAGAATGGAGTTAAGGTCTGCACAAGACTGCATATACCGTGGATAGGAACTGGAACTTGCAGTTGGGATCAAACAAAATGCAGTATTTAAAATTAAAATTAAAATATGCATATCGGTCTATATACTAGGTACAGTACATTGCAATTGCATATATAACATGTTTAACTTCCACGAGCAGTGCTTCGAATGCCTGGGTATTCCCTCATCATTTATATTTCATGCTTAAAGTCGGAGTAATATAAACTATTGCGATCACAGCCAGCGATCCAACCTTTACTTTAAAAAAGTTGCTGTCGCAAGAGAGTCTGAAATAATCGAGAAAGGGTTTTAGGGATGGTTTTAGTTTCATTCGCTTCGAACTAGATTTCGCGCGTTCTAAAAGTAATCTCGGATGCCGTCGAGTCTTGATCTCTTTAATGAAAATACATCTCACAACCATCTTCTTCGAGCAAGGAAATTCGGGAGAATGGACTCCGCGGATTTTCCAAAAGATTACGCTTTTTTGAAGTATCTTTAAGGGGTTATTTCAATTTCTATCTAAATTAAATTTGAGGAAATCGCCAAACTACAATATTTAAACTTCACATCATTTTAAAATGGTATTTCGAAAGAAAATAGTATTGCTTCATGAAACAAAAACTTTCTAAGGAAGTCTCAGTTTCTCTATTATGTCAGACCCTCTTGCGTCAAAAGTATCCCAGCCTGCATGACAATATTGACACAACGTTTACAAGAGGATGACGATGCTAAAGGGATGTTGATGCTGAGATCCAATGAATCAACATTGACTTGATGTTGGAAATATCAATATTGCGAGGACATGGAAATCGCGTTGCACTTCAATTGAATACTTGATATCTTGTCAACGTTACATCAACAGATGCCGGGCGAAACATTTGGCAGTTATTCGAATGATCAAGGTCCCTTTGTCTTGCCAACACAGCGAGTTACTTCATACATGCAACTGCCACGAGTCCCCAGTACTTCTCAAACGGTACTTGATATTTTATCCGCAGACGACACCGAAAAAGATATTGAAATTCCTGGATACATTCGATGGAACAGGCAACTCTACCCAACTGAGAATCAGGGTTATTCTGAGCCCGGGAAAGAAGAGAAGAAAGTTCACGTAAGGATGCGACTCCTTAAGACTCTCTCCCCCCTCCTCATCAAATTCAAGAGAGAAATTTCAATCCTAGTCTTCCTGGTCACGTGGGACGATCCAGGGAGTGATTATCACCCATCCTTCACTGCATTTTTCTCTTGCTTCAGAGAGACCGGGATTCCGCTCTCTATCTCGACATTCAAGGGCATTTCTTATCTCGAAATAGGAGATTGGAGAGGACTGAAATGACACTGATAAGTATTCACTAAGTATTTGAGCACTCAAATGGAACAAAGCATGAATTCGACACCTCAGTAATGTTGAGACCTGTCTCATTTCAACATTGAGCCTATCTTGATTAAATGTTGCAATTAATGTTCTTCAACTATGACTCAACATGATGGATGTTGAAACTTCAATGCTCTTACAACGTCGCTTCAATATTTTTGGGCACACTGAGATCATTGGCGAAGGGTGGACCTTTGCCTTCGATGAGCCAGATATTTTAAGTGATACTTCTGAAATTATACTTATGGTATGACTGAAAAGTTTTCAGTGTAAATTTATGGGGAAATTTTCCTGCGCATGAATCCAGGCAGCTCACAACGTTGTGCCCACGTTGGCTGCGAGTGGGGGAGCGTGGGCCCACATTGCAGTGGGCTGCCCATGTAGGCCCCCTTATCGACGCTAGGGAGGCAGTTAACTTTAGTCATATCTCAGGATGAGACATCTATCTCAGTTATTTGAACAAAAAGCTTCCCCAAAATGATTCAGGATGGCGCCTCTGTATTGTATGGCGCCTAAATTTTGGTGGGATCAGGGTGTGCCTCGTTAATTTAAGACCCCAGTACTTGATCTTTTCCCACAGAAAACGTAAGGGAAGACACTTGAATTTCTCAATTCATTTGTTTAAACAGGTTAAGCAGTCCAAGGAGACTCCTGATAATTGTGGAGGAGGCACGGTTCAAATTAGGACTTCACTCGATGGTGTGAGGATAAAGGGGGCAGTTTGTTCGATAGTGGAGGTTGCGTCTGGCTCCCCTTCACGGGTTTGCAGATTTGGGTATGATGAAAGACATGATCATCTAAGAAACATGAGCCGAAATAGGCCGCATGTAAGTATGGATCTTTAGAGACAGGAGGCATCCAAGGGGCCGCAAAATATCAATATATCTCTGCGGGCCGCATGCGGCCCGCGGCCCGCAGGTTGTGCATCACTGCTATAGCCGTGATCAGGGCCGGATTAACCCATAGGTTAATCCGGCCCTGATCATAGTCACTACTACTCCCTGGAGTACTTCCAGCCAGCACTTGACGATGGCCCAACGTCAAATGCGAAAAAAAAAACGAAGAATGGTTCAGGAATGAATCATGAAGGTTATTAATGTATTAGGGGGGAGGAGGGGTCGAACAATGAGTAATCACAATTTTTGTCCTTCGGTTTTGTGAAGGTGGATAGAACTAAGAGGATATTACATTGGTTTCTGAATCTGCTGTGCGACGGTCTGTTTAGGCTGGATGCGTCGTCAATCATGGCTTCTTCATCTGTAAGTCCACATTTCTGTACGCCCAAAAGCGATTTTATCGCGAATACGACCATTTGGTAGGCCAAACTGTGAGAGAAATATGCAGAAATCAACGTCCATTAGGTTGCATATAAATAGGCGCAGATTGTCGATTAAATATAGGATACAGGGTGACTAACATTTCTTCGATGCTCCATGTCAGTACTTTTTATTAGGGTTGCCAATCGATTAACAAATTTGATCGATTAATCGGTCGATTAATCGAATTTTAATCGATCCCTTAGTTCCTCCTTGAATCCTGTCCTAGACGTTGGTAATAACTCCGCTTGTGTCAGGAAGTGACTCAAGGCGATGCAGTCGCTAACAGCAGTTACTATCCATACATAACACTAGTTCATCCTACATGTGACACATTCCGATCGGAAAGAAAATAGTTACAACTTTGACAGATAAATCATGAAACGTAAGGAAAGAAGCGCACTGAGGCCCTTTGCCATTTAGCCGATCCATAACAGAAGGATGCAAAAATGTAACCTATATGATTGGACGTATACAGTGACATTTCATTACGCTGAAATTTAAAGATTTATTAACGATTTTCGGGCAACACAGGATGGAAGAACAAATACTGTATAGGAGCAAGCAAGGAATAGGAGGGGGTTTCACACTTTCCATTTCTCCCTCAGCTCTCCCCCTCTCTCGGTTACTTTCCGGGGACTCCCACATACGTTCGCCGGTGCACTTACACGTACGCCTCTCACTCCCCAGTCTTTACATGATCCTCTATCCTGCCTCTCCTGTCCCATGTCCCTGCTCAACCCCCCTCTTCCTTCTGTGCTTACCCTTGCAGCTTCATTACGACTTTCTTTCCCCCATTCGCATTCAGTGACTTTTCGGTCGCTCTGCCCTAGGCCGCTGTTACCTTAGCCTGACGCGCGAGGCCTGCAAGAGGCCGTAGGTTAGGCAGAAGGACACGGGATGCATACCAGTACGTTTGTGGATGCGAAGGGGTCAGGAAGCTTCTTTTTGGAATAGTCTAAAAGCGATGGCTTTGATTTGGGTTCCCTTTTTCCAAAAATAGTAAGTCGTTTTTGAGGAAAAATGAGCAGGGCGAAAACGACTACCTTCTATGAGCCATCATTACATTTCATTCCCATGATAAAGCATTCGTTGTTGGTTGTTTTGCAAAACTATGAACTACACAGCAAAGTTATAAGGGGAAAAAGAAGCATTCAGGGGGAGATTAGGGGGTCGATTAAAATTCAATTAATTTCGACTAATTTTTTAAATCGCGATTAATACTTTAATCGATTAATCGGTCGATTAATCTAATCGAATTGACAGCCCTATTTTTTATCATGCATGAAGTAGTGTTCACCCATAAAACCTGAACGCCTCTTTATCTCAAAGCATTTGACATCGTGAGATAGAGAAGAAAGCAAAGATTGTGTACCGTGCTCAATGGGGCCCGATTGCCAGGACAACCTGTATTTATGTACTAATCGGATCTTACTATTTTTCACCCTCTTTTCTACATACTGACTTTCTTTTCACATCATTTCAGCAGACTGTTCCCTCGTCGATCTGTATTTGGCCCTGAGGTCAAAGGCATACGCGAAATTTTGCGCTTAGGCATTGGAGTGATATGCCACAACCAGCCGAATAGAGACCTTATCTACACTACTTTGCAAGATAGCAAGAACGATCTGGGGCCTATTTCTCTAAGCTTACAAGTTCACAAGGCTACAAGTTTACAAGAAATAGCTTGTATTTACAAGTACTTGTAAATTCTGTTTCTTGAAAATCTTTTAGGAAACGCTTGTATTTTATTACTGCAGGGTCAAAGTTCACAAGTCCACAAAAGAACATGGCACGCACGGAGAGCACATTGGCTGTGCTCACCCTCCTTCGGGAAAAGAAAACTTAAGACAAGTCTCACGGTAGTTGCGTTGGTGTTTGCATCCCGTAAGGCCCAGCGTGAACTCAGTTGGGTATCTTGAATCAACGTTAGAGTCGTTGTAGGCAACAACCGGTCAGGTGCACCTAACCCTAAAGGGTTGAGTTGATGGCGTTCACAACAGTGAACGCATCTGTACACAGATGCTTTGGAGACATTGTGCATGTCGGCTACTCCCTGGTACTGCCCTCCATTGCCAAGCCAGTGAAGAGCAATGAGGATTTGATCCATTGGTGCCAGTGCATGACTTCTCGCAGTGGGTCGTTCGAGACGAAGCCGCATACTCTGAAGAAGGTACTCCATATCACTCGGTTTCAACCGAAACCGCTCATGGAAGCAGTAAATATTCAGCAAATCAAATCTAGCTCGTGGCTGAACCACTCATTGATGAACTTCGTGCACATCGCACACCGGCACATCATCCTCAGGATCATCAGAATCGCTAGAAAACATGGCGTCACTTGCAGTTGTGAACAGTTTAACCTACGTCCAGAGACTAGTAAGAGTTCTCTGATGTTTTACAAGAGCACATCGCGCACCGGCACATCATCCTCAGGATCATCAGAATCGCTAGAAAACATGGCGTTACTTGCAGTTGTGAACAGTTTAACCTACGTCCAGAGACTAGTAAGAGTTCTCTGGTGTTTTACAAGTATATGCTCCCTGACTTCTCATTTGAGAAACGTAAACTTGTATTTTGCCCAACAACACTAATAAATTACAAGCGCACACAGTTGTAATTACAAGTGGGATCCTAATTCTTCGAGAAACATAAACTTGTTACTTACAAGACTAATACTTGTAACTTGTACTACTTGTATGCTTCGAGAAACGGGCCCCTGGAGGGTTTAATTGCATGAAGTCAGCATGAATACCCATTATCCTATGTTCTGACTCTCTTCCTCGTTTGATTTGCTAAATGTTTAAATACTAGGCCTAATGTTTCTTCTCTTTCTTAGTACCCTGCCAACAAGCTCATGCTGCAGATTTCATTCTTCACTTGGCTGTTTGATGTTGAGAAGATCTCAAAACTTCAAGGTGAGATGGTCTGACATGGCTACATTATCAGACTAAAATGCACTTAAGAGTTACCCTTATTCCATTATATTGGTAGTTTGGCATGGGTTTCAGAGACTTGTCTGATTGCTATGCTAGTGACTGGTTCATGATATCAGCATCTTGCATCGCATAGGTGAACATGATTGTTTCCATGTTCCCAGCTACTTGGGAAATGATGGGTCTCTGAAGCAGGGCAGGAAGCCATGTAGGAAGTGTCAGCCTCAGTTTTAATGAAGGCTAATTTTTAAGCCAAGTTGCCACTTTCCTTGCATTGTTGTCTGCTGGTTCCAGCTCATATGATGCTGTGCCACCTTCAGCCATGTGCAAATTGAATTCAACACCATCTTCATGATTGCACTTATGAATGCTAGATTTCCCTGAACTGTTCCTTGGCTAAATTAATTCCAATCAATACAGTCCCCCTCAGTTGATAAAAAGAGAGTGAGGTTTCTCAATGCAAGAATCTAAGGTAAATTAAGAACAAGAATTGATATATTTTCAATTGTCCATTGATTGTGAACTCATTTTTGGTGTGTAAAGAGCAGCATTAGGCAATAAGGTTACCACAGCATGTGTCCCATTGTGAATGGATATATTTAAACGCATCAGTGAATTATGCATTATAATCAAGAATTTTAATGAATATAATGAAATTATAATCATTTTAATGATTTCTCTTTAGTAAATTGAATTTTTCATCTTAATAACTTCTTAAGCATGGTTTTGGACTCCTTCAGCTATTGATAGAATGTCGTCTCTGAATTGTTGGTTGCTGCTACTTTGATGCCTATGCATCAGCATGTGATTGACCCAGTTCTGGCTATTGACAAAACGTCCAGGAATGAAGATGAGCTCTGTTGATTCAAGAGTGGTGATAGCCTCCATGGTTTTCCCTGAATATCTGGTACATCTTTATATTAAAGTTACACTCTTGATGTGTTGCCAAAATTCATCTGCCTTGTGGAATGAGAGATGTTCTTTTTTTTCTCTCTCTCTCTTCCAATAGCAGTCTGTTTGCCTGTTCAACTCTTTGAAAACAGCTTCTCTTGGGGAAAAAAACCTTCCTCTATTGCTGAGCATTTTCAACTGATGTCAAAGACCTCACCCTCATATTTCTCTCTACTTATTCTCATTTTCATCTCCTTGCTAAAACTTGCATCTCTGTCACCATTTAAATTGAAATACATCTCATAAGGGTGGTGTGCAAACCATATTCAAGTAGCAGCAGTCAGCAAAATAGACAAAGCTTAGATGTTGTTCCTAGCGTTGAAAGTAGGCAGTAGACTTTGTGCTAACCTGCAATAAAAAAAATTAATTATCAGTGTATTCAGAAATATGGGGTTCTGAATTACTTTCTACTTTGATTAGAGAAAATTTCATTTTTATTTTGGAAAAATGGGATCCATTGGGAGTTTCACATTGAAGACGTTTTTAACAGTGAATAATAATAATACTTCCCATGGGTGACCCTGGTTGCTGCTGCTATGACTATGATTATGATTATGTAGCTATTGGCAGGATATATGCAATTGGAAAATTATGTTAATTCCAGGTGTAGTGGTAGCTTTCACAGCTTTTGTCATCATCCAATGTATCTAAAATCTCTTTAATGCCCTTATCTTGCCAATACATAGTTTGCCCTCATGAATGATTGATATTCTTGTTTCCTTCTTGCTTTAGCATTCCTGCCTAAAGCACAACTTTTTTCACAAAATGCTTCATCTGTGGCAAGAGCCTTCTTGTTAGAGAAACATGGCTGTCACTTGATATGGAAGACCTCACACATATTGCAATGAGGGGGGACTACATAGGGCTAAAGATGGGCTCATATCAGTTTACAGCAATTCAGGAGTTCTGTATGCCAGTAAAGGCTGCTTTCAAAAAGCTTCCCCCCCATCTTCAAAGCGTAGCTCAAGGACCATCCACTAAGGTTGGTCAGACCTGGTAGCCTCTCCTTGTTGCATCCAAAAGGTTGGGAGAATTCAGTCCACTGCACATTTGAGGACTGACACCTCATACCAGGATTATGACACACCCTGCATAGATCCAGAGATGAGATTAAAAGATGAGGTTTTTGCTTCTCACCAGTTTCAGACACTGGTATTTTTGCTCAATGGCAATACAGTATGACTATTGATACAAGCATAAAAATTTCTGTCTCCAAAGCTGTTTACTTTATTAGGATTTATTTGCCATCTTGATTTCATTCATCCATGAGTCACCAAATGAGTTGATGGTTTCAGGAAAGAAGTTTCCAAGAGACGTGGCTCATGTGTGTCTTCAATTGAAGGAGCATGCAGTTTATTGGCTGAAGTACAACACATACTCCCTTGTAAACCTGTCCAAGTTCTTCTGCCGTTTTGATGTTTGAAAGAGAGCTTGATTTTCATCACCATGGTTCTTTTCATTTCTGTCATCTGTAAGACTTCCCTATTTTCTATCCTTTTTTTTTTCTTTTTTTTGAGACTGCCATTTTTTTTTTAAATTTTCAATTAGGAAGTTGTTTCATATGTCTGGTGTGAAATGAGTCACACTTTCATGTTATCATTTGATGTGTTTGATATCAAGCAATGCCTTTTTTAAAAATGCTATTCATCCTTTTGTCATTTGATAAAATGCCTCTCTGGTAAAGGGTACTTTTGATAACCCCATTTTTACTTCTAATTTATCAGTACTCTTAGATCATTTTTTATATCATTTTCAGTTATCATTCCTCTTTCTGTTTCACTTGTCATTTCCTGCATTCAGCTCCAGATTTGTTCAAGTTCATTTTCGAGTAGCTTCCATTCCAAGATTAAAAACAGAATTGCAACAGCCACCAATGAATTTGTTTCTTTTATTATTTGCTACATTCCTCTCTGAATGAGTTAACTTAGCAAAAAACTGTCAATCCAGACAACATTCAACAGCATCAGCATTCCAATACTATGATACACACAATTTCTTCTTCCATTGCTGGCCAGTCAGGATGGGGAAATAGAACAAACGCCGCAGCTGCTTATGTACATACATCACTACACTCCCACCAGCCTTTTTCTTTGTCAAAATATTGCAAATACAATCAGCCAAACTTTTTCCATTAAGAAAAATTCTCTTCCCTTTTCACGAGATCATGTTTGATCTTGGCTTAGCTGAGGAAGGGGGAAGTGAATCTTGAGAGAAACAGTAAGGAATGTGACCAAATGCAAGTCGTTCCATTGGTGGATATTAATTTAAAAAAACAATAGCATGATCACAGCTTCTTCTTGGGAGTAGAAGGTAAATATGAACTGGAAAAAGGAGACAAGAACATAGAAGCAGGAAGAAGTGAAGTCTGACTAGAATTTGCACCAAGCTACAGAGATCCAGTGAACACATAAGATAGCCAGGAGGATCAAAGAGAAGGAACAAAACTGGACATCATGAACCACTGGTTGAGAGGTGTAAAATGGGTGGCACTTATTACATATTTAGTTCCCCATTAGAAAAGGGGGATGTCAGTCCCTGGAGGAAGGAAGAGATGCCAACACTGGGTTGCTTCCACCCTGATCTGAATCCCCTCTCCCAGGTTCCTGAAAATAGTGAAGAAAAAAATTATATTCCCTGCCTCAAATGGTTCTTTGTCATTGTAGCAAGATTAGAACTGAAGGAAGCTGGAACTTACAGGGACTGAGAGGAGGGTTCCATGATGGGATGGGTGCATGGAATACCTGGTAATGGATGAGAAAGGCCTGTGGAATGATGAGGGTCTTCCTCGTGGCCCATCAATTGCATCCAAGCCCAGCTCCACTCTTTCACTGATATCAAAGACATGCACACAAATATAACTATCATGTTCATGCACAATTTCTATCTACCACCATTTACATCTATACAAATTTCCTAATTGGGGCTTATGCATTCAGGTGAGGAAAATGACCTCTGCTATACAAAAGCCTTGTGAAGGCTTGTTACTACATCAAATGGAAATCTTGAAATAAGAAAAAGTTACCCAATCTCCATTCCCATGAGGAGGAGGGAAAATGACACATTTATTTTCCTATTGACAATCCCATATGGCAGTGTGAACAAGGTTAATCCACTCCTTTTAGCCAATTCTTGAGTCACCAAAAAATCTTCACCTTTATGCAACAGGATGCTGACCCCCAGCCCTCCCCAGGAATCCCCTTTATTTAAAAAAAAAACCCTTGGTGTGAATGATCTGACCCTCTTTTCTTTTTGAAAGTATACAACTCCTTCTGCAGTCATCGTAGAATACCCAGAAATAGAAACCTGACCCACCAAACCTAATAATGACAACCCTGTACTTTATGGAAGAACCAATGTAATCTGTAGTTCTTCCACAGCAGCTGCACTCCCCAAAGATCTGCTTTCACTAACTTATTTTTTTCTTCTTTGGGACCTTTTTAACATTACCTGCTTAATAAAGAGAAGATGCTGTTCTTTGCTAAATACCCAGGGAAGGAGATGTGCACATGGCTGTGATCACTCAGTGAAAGTTTCACAAGAGTAGAATTGAGGTTGAAATGCTGTACAACTTGAGCACCCAGCATTCTTTTCTCTTTGTTTGGTTCATTTAACCTTGTTTCTTGACCAACCCAAATGGTGCCCAACCTTTTTCGGCAGAGCAGCAAATATTTTGCTTATTCAAAACATTGCAATACAAAAGGAAGGTTGTTGGCTAACAGAAAAGAAAATGGAGAGAAAAGGTGAGAAAAAAGAAAGTGATGTAATTCAGCATTTTCCTCTTACATCCTGGACCCTAGACTACTTAAATCAAATCCCCACATGGACCCAAGAGTGTCCCAACACTTAGGTTGGAAACCACTGACTGTAAGTTACATTAAATTAATATTAAAACACTTCATAGCATGAAGACCAGATTCAAGCCTGCAGTTCTTTTTCCATTCTTCAAACCTTAAAAAGAATATTTTGGAGATTTGTGAACATCAGACATATGAGTTCTGGACATTTTCAAGAGCATAACCCTGGGGTTTACACTGCTGAGGGTGAGAGGGAAGGGCTAGGGCATACCTGAGCTTGGTTCCATGATTCCTGCCAAAATAGATGTACAGGGCAACACAGATGATGACAACCAAAACTACGGCTATCGTGGCACCACCTGCTATACTGGCAGTTTCCAGCATCACACGGTCCCGAGATGCTACGAGAAGAAAGAATTGCACTTAAGCTGTGTGTTTTATGCAGGTACAGGAGGAAAGAGAATTTAGTACATACGCAGGTAGGAGCCATCCAGGTCCTTGAACTCGCATCTTTGGCCCATGAAACCATCTGCACACCTGTCAAAAGAGACAAAATAAATTACTACACATCAATTTGTTAAAGGGGAGTATATGATAAATTCAATATGCAAACTCTTAATCATTTTTCTTCAACCAAAACCTTCCTTCAACCCTTACCTTAGCAATGTCTATCCATACAGGGTGACCTCACCTGGGCCCACCAGTTTAACTTTGACAAGAAAAACTTTAAATTTCTAAAAAGGTTTATGAGTTTATAACTATGAGTTTTAGACATGCCTCTCTAAATGTGCATGTTCACCAGCAGCATTTTAACATTCCCTGCAACTGTGATGGAAAAGATATGGGAAGTAGCCCAAAATGAGCAGATTTCTTTCAAATCTTTAAGCACAGCAGTGAAATGCTGGGCTAGAATGTCTTCAATCTGTATACTCCTGGAGCATCCTGAGGCATGGAGACCGATTAGAGGTTGCAAGTGGATAATAAATACTGCTGCTGGTCAATATGCAAACATTTTAGAGACAAAACCTAACCCATCACTTCTAGGAAGGATTGTAAAAATTGATTGGCTTGCATCTATTATATGCATTATCTTCGTCCTGCTCCTTGAAAATAAGTTCTTTGTACACAGCATGCACCGAATATAGAATCCAGCAGCCATACAGATTCTCCCCTTGCTTATGGCAGCTGAATGACAAGCCCAGTTGATAATCCTACTGCTATCCTCAATAAAAGTGTCAGGGGGTTTCCATATCATAGAATTTTGATCAGGAACAGACAATATACAATTTGTATTTAAGAAACAAAAAAAACAACCAAACCCTACCATCTCCCATGCATATAGCTTCAATCCCTACCAATTTCTATGGCTTTTGCTCTCAGACCCCCTCCCCCAGCACTTATGCTGTTAGAAGACTTATTACCACAGTCCCACCTTTTTCCCAGTCATGTTCTCCAGATTGCTCCAGGTCCCATAAAAAGTAAAACAAGCTGGGTAAGCCCAGTCTAGTAGTGAGCCTCCCATCTTTATATGAAGGTTATCATGCCCTCTCCTCAAAACTAGTTAATGAAGTAATGTGGAAAACATTTTTCAAAGGCTTTCCCTTACTTCAACCTCAACCCCACCTCCCCCTCTTCTCTACGGGGCTCACTGACATTTGGCCGAGGCCTACAAGGTTTAATCCCTGGTCTTCGAGACACCTCGTCGAAGAGGTGTAACGTTAGGTCAATCACAGGCCTATCCAGTCTCTCACGACCCATTTCAGAGGGGACGTGTAACGTTAGGCCGATTAGAGGCTTGCTTTAAGTTTCATGAACCATTTCAGTGCGGACGTGGAACGCTAAGCCTTTCTAAAGTTCCTCGAACCATCTCGACTAGTTCTGAGGAAAGAATGCTTCTAGGAAGCATGAAATACAAGCTGGGCGCCATCCTGTTAATTAAGGGATGTCCGGATGAGATATCTCCATATCCCGCCATATCGATTGGCCACAGCTAATCACCTTTTCAATCTCAGCTCATTTCATGAACTCAGTACAAAATGTCTCACACATTAAAAAACAAGATCCAGACACTGACACTAAGGCCGAAGAAGTCATGAATCTAACATAACTCCGGCACGATATCCAGCAACACTGGGGAACGGGACCAGAGCCATCATGCTAAGCCTAAATGAATGACAACTAATTTCATTTTTCGTGGCGAAATGGTGCATCGCAAACAACAAAAAGGGCACTTCTCGTCACATACAAGTTAATATCTTTCGTTTCGTTGTCTCTCTTCTCCAACAACCCTCCAGGAGTGGCTACCCCCGGGGTGGGGATAACAATAAAAAATATAAATATAAATATAAATAAAATGAAAGTAACTGATAGGTCAAGTGTCAAGTGAGAGACCGTGGAATGAATTCGCTAAGCCTTTGTCCAAAGAAGAGTGTCCGGAAGGCAATAAATGAATTGCAAGTGCTAAATTGACTATCTACTACATTTTAGAGAACTGTTTGTTCCTTCAATGTTACAAGTTGACTCTCTTGCATGAGATTGTCATCTGACAAACCAAAATGCTGTGACTTCTGCGGTGTGATGCTGAGACGCATGGTAAATGGTGAAATCTTCCTTAGCCATGTAGCCTTCAGTGACTAGGCAACATTTCACCCTTCTGTCAAGGTGAACTATCACTATGTTCGAATCTGGGCTGAACAAATTTCTCGCAAAGTCGTAGCGTTCGTTTGAGACAGTCAGAAAGTAAACATTTGGTCTCAAAAAACCTATTATGCCAACGGTAAATGGCTTATAATGAATGGGAGAACTAGCTGGCAACTAAACAAAACTTTCAGAGTCCCTCTATTATTTTCTGGAATATTACTGTCGTGAAGCTCCTCGTGCAAATTTTATGCTATACTGAAAGTGTATGTGTACTTTTTTTTCATTTATATATGTATGAAATTCACATCTTCAAAAAGAAAGATTCGGTGTTCTCCACAACCCCGGTGAGATGGAACTTATAATTTTCTAGAGCGATTCTGTGTTGAGAGAAGAAGAAGCGTGCCAAATTTCGTTCCTGTTGATGCTCTCAGAGAGAGAGAGAGAGAGAGAGAATACGAGGAGGTTGAATTTTTGTCACGCAAAGGGGTTGAAGAAATACCGAGTCCATTGATTTCTGACTATTTGGACGTAATATTTCTGTATTATAGAGGATTTTCGAAGGAGACATACTCGCAGTTGTAGAGAAGACTCTGTCCGATCTTGACGGTGAAGCAGGTGGCACCGTTGAGACAATACCAGGCGGCATAGGCGGGCGGGCAAGCGTAGGTCTGGAACGTGATGTTCGGTCTCACCGTCGGTGACGTCGACGGTCGAGGTCGCGGCGTTGACCGGGACGAACACGCCTCTGTCATAGAATAAAACGCAATATTTCATCATTGCCACTACCACCACAACCATCGTCAGCATTATCAGAAAGAGGAAGTGGGAGGTGGAGACTAGCCGCGTCCGTTCGGTGCACGAGCCATCCGGCATTCTGACGTAACCTCGTCCAGAGAGGAGAGTGAGAAAATAACATAAAGAGGAAAGACGAATGGATTGACAGGGTCTCCGGGAAACGGAAAAACGCATCACCAGTGGAGCAAGAGACGGAAGGAAGGAAGGGCCGAGAATGGACGGATGTCCTGGGATTTTTTAAAGCCACACCGGATGGGCAACATCATTGCCCCGATGCTGCCACGCCTCCATTCTGTTTAACAGCGAATCCCCTCTATACAAAAAAAATATTACCTCTGGGAACTAAACTCGAACTACTTACAACCATCCAAATGATATGACCATGAAATGTCATGTTACGGCCAGGACAAGAAGGATTCAAGCAATCGTTAGGGTCTAAACCTGTGGTGAAGAACTGAAAAAAAAAACTTGCCTTCCAGATAATGTAGTATTAATGATTACCACGCACGGTACGGTATATGGACGTAGCACAGTCCAGATAATTATAATATGCAGTGACGTCATGCGGTTGGAATTCCTTCGGTTTATTGTCTCTTCTTTCACCAAAAAAAATTGTTGTTCTTCACCTTAATGCCGAATTATCGCAATTAGATCATATTAGGTTAAGATTTATTTTATGTTTTAGATTTAGATCAGGTTAGACAGATGCGAGGAACAGACCCCTAGAAACCACCACCTTTTGGGAGGAGGGATGAAAAGGCCAATAGTTTCTCTGAAGGAAAAATTGTGAAACGTGTGTTTAACGTTTGCGTGAAAATGTGAAACAAGTTGACCTCAAAAAATTGACTGATCTTGCGATCCACTATCTTCCCATACTCTCCCTTCGATAGCGGATAACCAAGTTGTAGGTAACGTCTTTCAAGAAAGCATGGTCGGTCTTAACTTTCGCATTTCTGTCACCTCATCATCCAATCCACGTCTCTCTCGGTCTCTAATTCTCATTAGGAAAGGATTAGATACAAATTGATTCCAAAAAGCATCACGTTCGCGAATAAACGAGCATAATGAATACGGGATACATGGAAATATTTTTTTTTTTCAAACCACAACCATTGAATACGAAAGAGAGTAAGCGAAGGTCAGTCAATGTCATTGATGAATTCTCACGCGTCCCTTCGTCAGTCTTCTCCCACCACGCTCACATTCATATATATTTTTCATTTGATGTTTTCCGAGACCGAATAGCTGGTTGCTATATTGGTGAGTTGCAATATATAGAAAACAAATAAATAAATAATAGGCCGAAGTTTGATGTAGGTTAGATTTGGCCAACACTATCGCAAGGGTTGAGTCAGATGCATGGACATATTTGGGCGATTGTGAAAGCTAGTAACTTTCCAAAAGAACTTCCTCTGTGCACAGATCTCTTGGAACGGAATCATGACCTTCGACCGTTCCAAGTTTTCCTTTCCCATCTGGAAAGGAAGAATGAGAGAAGATCCGTTCTATGTCTTTGGATGCAGGTTTTGGCTTCATTTATTTATTATTATTATTTCTTTGCCAAAAGTTGCTTCATTTGTGGGTCACGTGGTCGTGACCAACAAAGAAAGTTCTTCCTATACTTCCCCTTCTAATTTACGGCACCAACCCAGAAGTTTTTCGACCCTCAACCTTAGGTTACCTTGCGCAAAACTGTATTCAGGCCGGTCGCTCACCCTGGATCCGCCACTGGTAGCAATGCCTGTTGGCCACTGGCAAGTAGAAGGGATCGAGTGCGCAACACCGTGATTCATGGTCCGAATTCAGCAATAGGCTTTCCCTCTTCTTACAAGTTCATTTTGTTCATTCAACATTCTTACAAGTTCATTTTGTAGATGCCTACGGCTACTTAAAAACTACTGTTCTGCCAAAAGTCCGACTGGAGCTCGTGACTGGGCCAGTCTATTCCCTTGTCCCTAGATGGACGGGTCTGAATGTTCATTAACGTCCTAGTACTTCAACAGTTGCTCCTTGTTGCGTGTCTGAGAATCTGTCAAGTGTGAAAGGACAGACGAGCCGAGCTCTGACCCAAATAGAGAGAGAGAAGTCGGTTGAGATGATAAAAAAAAAGTCTACGCACAATAACACCGAAGACGAAAGAAATGGATTAAAAAGGAGAATAAAAATATATTTTTTTATGTGTACGACCTACCTATACCAATTTCAATAGACAAGGTGGCGAAGCTTTCCAACTAGGAATCACGAAACTTTACCAGGAATGGGAGGGCATTTATAAGTTTCTGCATGTGCACTTTTGACTTTGTTCCACCAATAGTTTATGATAGACAAATTCGGAGGCATTACATTGGAGTTGCCCCTCGTATAACCTCAATAATTTGATAATAAAACGATGCGAACAGTTCATAATATTACTGCAATATTTTCATAATACCATGACCAAAGATTCAGATTAAACCGGTGGGCCGCTCTTGGCCTCCAAAAGAGAATTTACAAGTCTTGACATACTTTGAATCAACGACTGCAATCGGTCAATAGAAATTTCATTCCAAGTATTGCTAACAGCTCCAAGCTGCTTTCCGTGGTTTCTACAGTTACTTGGTCACTTTTTGACAGATAACATCTGAGATTTGCTCGATTTTATTCATACCTGCATCCTGCTCCGCCTAGGGCTGGACATCGATGGCAACTTCCTCCAATTTGACCCTATTTTTTTGTGCTGGAGAAAAATCATGCTAAATACGGTTTTGGCAACATCGTGGAAGAGTCTTGGAATGGTGAGATAGGCGTAATCCTCCATCAGTAAAAAATATTGCTGTTTTCATATCCTCCTTGGACAACACCGGATCATGGACGATTTGGTTGCCGATCATTCCTCATATGACTATTCCCCTAAATTGGCAATCCTCCTCTAAAGGTATTCGCAAAATCGGTGCACGGGTCGTCTCCATATCGGTTCCTGCCGATCAGAAACCAATTCGATTCGTTACTGAAAGCAAATCTTTTTCACCGCGCCTTGTGCTAGTCAACATGCCTCCGCGCCCACTGCAGCCTTATACTCCACGTTCATTGCAGTGATGATTTCCTGACTGCTCTGCATCTTTAAAAAAAAAATGGGTTCTTCATATACCAGCTGAAGAATAAACTGTGGTGGACGAGGAGGCAAGTCGACTTGGATGAGGTTCGTCAACTGGGATGAAGCGCAGGGAAGAATTGAATTTGGCGACGAGTTGCGATACTGCTTGGTTTGAGATAGGCAGGGACAGGTTTGTAGGCGTTCTGTTGAAAATTTTCACGAATACTGTTGAAAACTGTCAATTTAGGAGGGGGGGAGTGGCATTACGATATGGGGAATGATCAGTGACCAAAGCATTAATAAATTCGTCTAGTGCAAGGAGGATGTAAAACCTGAGCAATATTGTCTACTCATTGAGGATCCCGTTTTTCCCATCATGAGGCGTTTCTTCCCAGATGTTGCCAAAGCCACTTTTCAGCATGATGTTCCTTCAACACACAATTATTCGTGGTCCAGGTCAAACTGGAGATTGTTATCGATTTCAAATCATGGATAGGATAGTGAAGATAGGAATCCAATCCAGCGTGTTTGAGATGTCATCGGTGGAAGATGACCAAGAAAGGGAGGTAATACCTTCGTAGGTATTACGAGGAGTGGCTTCAAGCTGTTATACGTGGAATGAAACTCCAATTGACTGATTCATGTCATTGGTTAATGGCATGCCGAGATTTGCGAATTCCCTTTTGGAGGCTAAAAGGGGTTCCACCTGTTTTTTTGGCTACAGAGTCATGATGACAATATGTAATAAATTATGCAATTGAGTTGTCTGGACCATTTTACTATCAAACTATTGAAGTGCAACTGCCTTAGATGCATCTAGGGACGAATTATTAACGAGAATGTGAATATTTTTTAGGTAAACAATTTTTTTTTGGCCAGTAGTGTATAAATGCTTTCTACCCATGTGGGTAGAGAGGATCAGTTAGGAAAATCCCTGTGGAATGTCAAGGACAGGAGGTCAATTCACTTCCCCCTTTCGGCTTTGCATAAATCACAACCGACCGACCAACAATCCTGCCCCAACTGGAGTCCCGTTCCATCCCGACGATAAGAAGAGAAGCCGAAAATGGGTTCAAAGAACAAGAAAGAAAGGAAGGAAAGGCATTAAAGGCTTAAGGAAATGACAGATGGCTAGGACCTGACTCCGGGATTAAGATCTTCAGATCCGCATACCGAAACTCAAAAACCCCTACACCGATTACACCCGATTAGAAGAAGAAAAGAAAGGGAAGCTTATTGTCACCAAGAAAAATTTTTATGACTATCATATTTTCGTTGGAATTCAAGCGGGAAAGTCTGGCGTAATCTCCTAATGCCAAAGGAAATTCTTTCTCCCATCCCTATCAATGCATTCAAAAGTACAGGAAAGCATTCGAATATACCACCGAAACAAATGAAATTTGAGAATTCCCTGCACCAGGACGGTCCCATCGACGGAGCCGCTTTCCACACTTCCTCGAGAGACCGCGGCTAGGGCCGAGGACACGTGCCAAAAGGGGGGGGAAAGACGCAGCAGCTGTCAAGACGAGAGAGGGCGGTGCGAAAATTCCAATATTTATCCGATCAATTATAGCCCGGGGGCAGGCCGAGACAGTTGCCGCCGCGGCGGGACAGCAGGTGGTAGAAAACAATGACCACCCTACTGTGTATTGTACGGTGAGAACCCAGTCCACCATTCTGAGAATTCCATACGTAAGCATGCAGGCACACGACGCGTCCCCGTCGTTCCATTTCCCACAACGCTCGAGCATGATCCTCGCATTCCCCACGTCGGGGGGAAGAGACATCATTCCCCATGTTATTGTGGATCGAGGAATGGCCCCAGGCCGAGCTGCCGTGTGCAGTACGCGGAAAACTCAACAGCGGCAGCGGGATGCCGTGCGTGACTCCAGCCGAA